TTTATGTGTGTTGGTGGTTTTGTCTCCTTGATCAATTCTTCGCGTCAAGCAGACGCCGGGCGATGCGTTGTGGGTGGGTGAGTAGTGGGGGAGGGTCATGCACACGGCGTCCTCGCCCTCTCTCTCTCTTGCTCGGCAGCAGCTGCAGTTACTTGTCCACTGCTGAATGAAGAGAGTCGGCACGACGCTCGCCGTCGTGGTGCGCGATGATTCCGTTGTCAGATAGCGCCCGCAGCTCGTCCTATGGTCGCCGTTCCTCACTCTTGTCTTGGTTCCCAGCTTGGTGCTGGTCGGTGTGTGTGTGGGTCGAATCCACGGCGCTCTCCTCTTCCTCACGCGCGGCTGGTCAGGCTCAAATCTCCTGCTGGCTCGGCACGGCACTTGCCTTTGAAGGTGCTCGATAGCGCTCACCGCTTGTCCGCTGGCAGCTGACACCATTGCTCGGTGGCGCTGGTGCCGCTGCTGCACGCTCTTTCCTAAGGCTCCGTGCTCTCTGGCGATGCCCGATTGCGCGTGCAGCTCTGTGAGTTGGCTTGGTCGATGCCTGGCGCTTTCCGCCCTTTCTCGAGGTTGAATGCTTGACGTTGCTCGTCACTCTTATCTCTCTGGCTGCAGCTGCTGGTGGGAGCTGGCGCTCGATGTAGAATCAACTTTTTTGCGATACTTCGTCTTTCAGCTCTGAACTCACACTTGGTGACACATCGCTACTCGGCAAGCCTCGCCATCCTTGGTCGATTGCAGGGCCCACCCCGGAGCTTGCCACTTGCAATACTCTTCTGTCGCTTGCAGTAGTGGCCTTTTTGCGTTGACTTCGTAGATGCGTGGCTTCTGCTGATGCAGCTCGTTGACGATGTGCCAGTCACGGGGGTAGGTTCCCGGAGCCTGCCATTCGCAGCACTGAATTGTGTGTGTCGTGTCACTGTTTACATCTGAAATTCTCTCCTCTCGGCTTGCCTTCTCACAAAGTAACGGCATCCCTTTGATTTTGCTCTTTGCTGTGGGGGCAGTTGTTCATCCGGGGTACGTGTGTATGTATGTGTATGTCCTGATTGATTAAACAATATGTTAAGTCTCACCCTGGCCTGGTTCCTGTCCCCCTCCTCAAGCCACCTTTTCATCCGTGGAAAACAGATGCTCCAAAATTACCCTCAAGTGTTTTTTCTAGCTTTTCAACTTTGTAATAATTTCTCTGGAGGGAGGGGTTCCTATTGTCCGGTTGCATCCTCCCCCCCTCTTCCCTCGCGGTGGGGTTTTACATTTTCTTCTCTCTCACAGAGAGGGGCGCTGGCATTTGCAGTCGTTTCTCTTGTACCGTTTGGAAAAAAAATATTTTTTTCCTCTAATAGCTTGATACCGTACCACTTTTGTAGTTCTAATTCTGTAAGTGACTCAAGGTATGTTTGTAGCAGCGTTTACAGTACTTACATCGTGGTTTGGAATTCCTTCATGGTGTTTTATTTTGGTTTTTAAGGGGAGATGCCCTCTGCATGCGTATGTAATTTTATTGCTTCTGGAAGACAAAGGCGGTTGGGAGGCTCTCTCTTCATGGGATACGTTTTATCTTGGTTATGAGTGATTGACCTATTTCGCCTTTTTTATTCTTCTGGATGACCCTCGGTCTAATACTTCATAATTATTATTTGGTTTATGTTTATCCACGATTTGTGATTAATCATCGTTATTACCACGTATATGCCGAGGGTTTGTTCCCCGTCTGTATCCAGGGATCCGTGCTGTTATAATCGAGTTATTTTTTTGATATCCCGAGGTTGGAGATGTAACTAAGTTTTGGCTTAAACATCCGTGACTGCCAGAATTTATTCTTTGGTTATTTTGGTAAAGTCGAGTAGATAGAAGAATAATACTAAAAAATAAGGTGAATAACATTAGTACTAAATAATATGAGAAATAATAACCCACTAATGTAGATTGTAGACTCGTTTTTCATCGGAGTGAGTGTGTGAGTCTATGATGTTCACTTATTCTTGTCGCTAAGTTTTCGAACTTTTACCGTTGTGTTAAAAAAAAACGTTGCCTGTTTCGTCATCGTGGCGCCTGGGGTCTGTACTCTTTTGAAGCCATGTAGAGATTCCCCAGAATCTCATTAGAAACCTCCCCCCTTTTTATTACCTTTTATGGCTTATCTCCGGCTGCCTGTGTGAGTGTGAAACGCAGCTGCTCTGTGAGGGGAGGGGGGGGTTCGCATCACCCCCTTTTGTCCCAAGCGGCACCGCGATTGATTAAAAAAATATTGGCAGAATTATTCTTAATATAAATTTTTGGAAAAAGGCCTATATATACAACAACACGCAGGCCATTTTATCTGGGTCGGTAGCAACCCCTGACGCGCTGATGATATGGCCCAAATACTTGATCGAAGTTTGCAACAAATTTCATTTTTGCGGCTTAAATTTCAAGTTTGCATCACGCACCCGAGAAAAAAAAGACCGCAGCTGCTGCAAGTGCTCATCAAAAGTGCGACCAAAGACAATGATGTCATCAAGATAAATAAGGCACGATTCCCATTGCAAACCAGATCGAACCAATTCCATGAGGCGCTGAAAGGTGGCCAGCACAGAGTTAAGTCCTATTGGGAGACAATTGAAATGGAACAACCCCTGTGGTGTTCAGAACGCCGTTTTAGGTTTAGATTCTGTGTCCAAGGGCAGTTGCCAAAATCCTGACAGCAAATCAAGGGTTGAATTGTGCCCCAGACAGAGCATCCAAGGAATCGTCTATACGAGGAAGCAGGTATGTGTTTGCTACGGAAATTTTGTTGAGTTTTCGAAAGTCAACGCAAAATCGCAAGGAGCCATCACGTGTTTTAACCAATACAATGGGCGCCCCCCCAAGGGCTGGTGGAGGTAGATAATGTCTGCAGCCAATATCTGTTTCGAGCGACTTGGAGGGACGTGAGGTCATCGCCGTCGGCGATGGAAAGGACGATGCCCAGCTCCCTCTCCAGTGCCAAGAGCCGCACCAGGGTGAGAATCGAGGGCTGCTCGATCGATGGAGGGCCAAGAGAGCGCTGGGAAATGCCAGGGCCGTCTCAGTGTCCTCTCGTTTTCTGAGCAGGAATCTTCTGCGGATGTTCGATGGTGGGTCGAAGATCGCTGCCATCACGGAGCAGGCATTGGCGAGCGAAGACTGATCGGCCTTGGGGATGGAGTAGAAGGCAGTCAACGAATCATCATCCAGGGACGTGGGCAAGCCCTGTAACGCCTCACCTGTAGACCAATCCACCAAACGATACGCTGCCTTAAAGCGACGGCGGAACGCCGTCAAATCGCCTCCCACCGCAGTGAAAGCACGGGCCGGCGGCAACCGGTTCATCGGAGATGGCCGCACAGCAGGCGAAATAAACGTCGAATCTGGCGTGGTCGCTGAAATGGCAGGAGCCACGTCTGCTCGCGGAATGTTGGCGGCTTCTTGCACGATCGCCGTCATTGAAGTGACGGGAAGAGTCGGCGCATCCATCAGCGCCACTGCCGAAGTCGTCGCCTGGTTTGCCATCATCAGTACGTTGAACAGTTTGGTAACCGCAGACAGCATCATCTCCAGATGGTCAGTGACAGCCCGCCAACCTTTCGTCGGCGTGTGGACCGGGCTCGCCCTGCGCTATCCCTCTTACGATGGCGGCAGCAGGTCCACCGGGCCCGCCAGCTGATCCGCAGCTCCATGGGCAGTGGCGGAAACGATGTCTCCGTCGTTTTCGTCATCGGTGAAGCCAACAGGTAAGTTCCTTTTCTTAGCCACTTTCTTTGACATGATGGCGACGTAGGTTCTTGACCACTTCGACACCAAATGTAGTGGTGTATTCACACGGACACTATCAGCTTCTCTCCTGTGTCACTTTATTACTTCGCAACGTGCACGGATGCTCCCGACTCTTTACACACCCTTGCTCTGAACTCTCTCTCTTACTCCGCTAGCCTGCTACTGAATACTCCGCTATCCTGTCACTTAATACTCCGCTAGCCTGTCAGCCTTTTCTCACACCTCCAACCTCGTCCGTGCCCCCACTGAGGAGGACGAGGTGTGGTGGGCGAGGTCCCAGGCTTCTTGTCTCCGCGCACCCCTCATTATCCTCCTCCTCATTAAGGGTCCTCAGTTGACCCCTATTAAGCTGGCTCCTCAGCGACGCCTCCTGCACGTGCTTTCTCTCCCTTATCGTCTTCATTTCCCGTCCCTCCCGCGCCTACTTCGTGTTTGCACGCTTGCACCTGCCTGTCCCGAATGCACCCAACTAATTACCGCTTCTCCCCTTAATTGCTGGCTTCTCTCTGGCGGCTGTTCCATGTCCTAACGCTTGCAGCTGCTCGTCTTGAAAGGCACCCACTCTTTTTCAACCCCTCGCGTGAATGCATCCGCTGTTTGCAACCCTCTACGCATTACGCCACTACACATGGCTTAGCAAATAGGACACGCGGTAATTTGTGATTGTGTGTGTCTGTTCAAAATGTTTAGCGTACTTCCCGACATGCAACAAACTTGAAATTTGCCATGTGGGTGCTTTCCAGACTGTACACCATGCAAAAATTATGAAAATAGACTTTTGTATTTTTTTTTAGGTTTGGGGCAGGGGCGCAATAATGCATATATATTTTGCACGGCAAGTGAACTGTGACGTAACATATCTGTCATGTCACCCGCGCGTGTGGGAGCGTAATGGAGTGTGCCTACTGACGTCACGAATCCCCCCCCCCACCCCAACCCTCCGTGAGTTAAGTGCCATACAAATGTGTTGCAGGTCTAAGGCGTTCTTCATGCAGCATTGCTTTATTATTTCAGTCGTTTACTGCCGTACGCACCCTGAAAGTTGTGTGTGTGTCTGCAGCAAGCGCGTGTATGTGTACCTATGGACACGCGCGCATTTGTTTGTGGGGGGAGCGGTAGTGTAGTGGTTAGCGCGCTGCGCTACGAACCCGGCGACCCGAGTTCCATTCCCGCTCATATGGCCACCACCGGTGACGATTATTTGAACCAGTCCTGGACCTCACCTAGGTCGACTCAGCCTCAAACGAGTAACTGGTGCGGTGTCTGAACATCGCCACTGGGGGGACAAACGCGGCCGACCGGGTTAATCCAAGCCCCGGGTGAAGTCGGGTAGTAAAGCTAGTAATACATATGTATAGTGTTCCACGGACAAACGCATATTGAAAGCGTTACAGAAACCATGAGCAGACGCGTGATTTTTCTCCCTCGTTTCAGATCTGACAAAGCGCACAGGAGTGACCTGCAAGGGCCCACGTCCAAAGGTTTGAATTATTACACTTATATTAGGAGCTGCCCCGGCAGGACTGTATGTAGAAGGGAAACATTTTCAAATGTGTTTTGCCTGCCACATGCTTTCATTTTTAAATACAGTAGACTCAATTATCTGCACTAATGACACGGGAAGACGGCTGCGGATATTTCAAAGTCGCTGAAAATCCAAAAACATAAATTTTCCATGAAGTAAAACTCATAAAAATAAATAATCGGATAAATCACTCAAATTGCAGCACAGATTACGATTTCGATTGCTAATCTTTCGATTTCGAATGAATACCAACGATCGACCGATCGATTCACGTGCTCAATGATAATAACACTTTCCTGCTCCCGTGCAGAAGACTCACTAAGTGGATAACAGAGCCATGCCAATCAACATTAATCAATATCCACCCACTGTTTTTAATATATGCAACTATTGTACTGTAGAGGCGATCACGTGGATTTCGGATTCACCGGAGGACATATTTTATCAGTTTAACCACGTGACTTGAAATAAACATTTCTAAGCATAACAATGTATCACTGTTTTTAGATTATTAATTTGGTCTTACGGGAAACTCCATAAGTAATTAATTTATGTCAAAATCTCAGGTACACGATTAATCCACAAATCGGATAAACTGTATATGGAAAATCGAGAGCCTAGTGTACATTTCTTTTTGTCGCACGCTTTCCCGTTATTTCTACTCCTTAGATCACAGCCGGTATTCACTACTACAACAAATGTGCGTGTCGGTCATCTGGAGGGTGTATGCCGTGGTTATTTGGGTCTATTATGTCCTTGTTCTTGAGAAATATTAATACAATTTTAAATAGTATTGCTAAGATGTGGTGGGAGACTCAGAGATCAGAGTGCTGCTGAGCCGGCACCATTAAGATCCTAGTTTAGAATCTTGGTCTCAGACACCTGTCATGAAACTGTGTTCTCAAATACAATGAATGTATAGCCTCAGCGCAGTCGCCAAGTGATTGTCATAGAGACCCATATACTCACATGGAGGTCCATACACTCACTCAAACCTGTATAGGCTCACATGCAGACCCATGGACTTAGAAATTCAAAGACACATAGAAATAAGCAGACACACAGATCCATATACTCACACATATACCCATGCGTAGAGATACAATATACCTACACTGAGTTGTGATTAAGCTGGATTCTCAACTGAATTGAGTTGATTGGCTCAGGCCAGTTATTCAATGACTACACACATATACACACACATCACATGTTGGCCAAATGTATGCTCCGAGGATTACATATTATTGAATTGTCATGCCACAAATATTAATCTCATATGGCAGAGCGGGTGGGAAAATACTTCCCTCTTCTCTGTGGAGCAGAGATCACTTGCAGGATCTCAGAGGTGATTCTGTAACATCTGCCTTACATTCTTCGTGGGATTTGTAAATGGATTTGTCGAAACGTCACGGTACTCGAATTGTAAATGTTGTATAGGGTTAACTCACCAACACACACCGGGTGTGCTGAACTAGTATACTACACTATACACTACTATACACTACACTATAATTGTAAATGTTGTAGAGGGTTAACTCACCAACACCACACCGGGCGTGCTGAACTAGTATACTACACTATACACTACTATACACTACACTATAATTGTAAATGTTGTAGAGGGTTAACTCACCAACACACACCGGGTGTGCTGAACTAGTATACTACACTATACACTACACAATAATTGTAAATGTTGTAGAGGGTTAACTCACCAACACACACCGGGTGTGCTGAACTAGTAAACTACACTATACACTACGATACACTACACTATAATTGTAAATGTTGTAGAGGGTTAACTCACCAACACCACACCGGGTGTGCTGAACTAGTATACTACACTATACACTACTATACACTACACAATAATTGTAAATGTTGTAGAGGGTTAACTCGCCAACACACACCGGGTGTGCTGAACTAGTATACTACACTATACACTACACAATAATTGTAAATGTTGTAGAGGGTTAACTCACCAACACACCCCGGGTGTGCTGAACTAGTATACTACACTATACACTACTATACACTACACAATAATTGTAAATGTTGTAGAGGGTTAACTCACCAACACCACACCGGGTGTGCTGAACTAGTATACTACACTATACACTACACAATAATTGTAAATGTTGTAGAGGGTTAACTCACCAACACACACCGGGTGTGCTGAACTAGTATACTACACTATACACTACGATACACTACACTATAATTGTAAATGTTGTAGCGGGTTAACTCACCAACAAACACCGTGTGTGCTGAACTAGTATACTACACTATACACTACTATACACTACACAATAATTGTAAATATTGTAGAGGGTTAACTCACCAACACACACCGGGTGTGCTGAACTAGTATACTACACTATACACTACACAATAATTGTAAATGTTGTAGAGGGTTAACTCACCAACAAACACCGGGTGTGCTCAACTAGTATACTACACTATACACTACGATACACTACACTATAATTGTAAATGTTGTAGAGGGTTAACTCACCAACATACACCAGGTGTGCTGAACTAGTATACTACACTATACACTGCTATACACTGCACTATAATTGTAAATGTTGTAGAGGGTTAACTCACCAACACACTGGGTGTGCTGAACTAGTAACGAATTGGCCACGTTTTGTTTACATGACCAAACCTTACTGATTGGCTGTTTCGGGTGGTGGTGATCGGTTTGGAGACAAATTTATATTTACGTGATCTATCCCTAAAAAAAACCCTCTATTATGGATTATACGTTTCATGCCATGATGCCAATATCACAACCGAGATACATGTTTGGATTTCAGACAGCAACAACAGCACCAACACCAAGAAAGTTTTGTAGCCATGTTGAAAGATACAGCAGGGCGATTACTGTGATGACAATCAAGGTTAGAGTATCGAGATTGCTGGTGTTGGGGTAATAAAGCTGTCAAACGTTTACATGACTGTTTGGATGCATGCAGTTGTATAGTTCTTTGATTTTTAGGTTGTAATTGATTACTGAGGCCATTCAGCGTCAGCAATTGGCAACATCAGAAGTCAGGACATCATAAATGTTGGGAGAATGTGTGATGTTAAATTCAGTTCCTGAGGATGTTACCGACACCTGAAGATCTGCAAACTCACTGTTACATCCACAGAGGTACAGACTCACACAAAGACCCACAGACTGACATATAGACCAATTATAATTATAACTTTACACATAATAAAGCAATCGTGCAGAATCGCACAGAGTTCAATAACCTGAAATAGAGATGTAAAGGCTGACATAGAAGACTCATAGATTCATACAGAGACCCGTAGATTCACTTCAGAATCATGCTCAACAGCACACAGTACAACTTTAAAATGTTATATTATGTAGCTTTACAAATAATTAACGTTATAACAACGTGTGTATGTGAATGTAATGGTGGAGATGAGGTGAATGGAATTGGGGGTGAATCTGTGATGCGTGAATTCGGTGAAAGTGAACTTGATTACAGTAAATGATGAAGAATGGATTGAATCAATGCGATTAATCGGTGGTAGCCATATAATGATAATATGAAGAGGGATCAGTAGCGGTACTGGTGGTTATGATTGGGAGATTAAGGGAAGTTGTGGGGTGAGCCAAGGAATATTAAGTGAGTTTTGAGTGAGAAGCAGAAACTTTGTGAGAGAAGGTGACTGCTTAACGTGGAGGGGGAAGTTTATTCCAGTGAAGGGGGAGAGCGAGAAGAGAGAGAGCGAAAGCACAGATTGAGCACAAGGAGAAGGAGGAACACACAGAGAGAGACAGCAAAGATTGATCTTGAGAAAGATACAAGAGTGGGGCAAGACCATGAGGGTGATTTATAGACAAGGGTGAGAACATCTGTCTTGGATTTTTATTTCCCCCTCCACCACCCACCCCCACCTCCCTTTCTAGGTTTCACTGTGGGGCACACGATGCAGTCTCAGACCAAGGGCATCTGGGCCTGGCCGGTTCCTCACCCAGTGGACAAGGAGATTTGCCTTCTACTGTTGGACATGGAGGGGCTTGGAGACTCGGAAAAGGTGAGGGGGAGGCATAACTCACGGAAGCAAATCTCTCAATGGGCATAAACCTAGGGTCGTAACAATACAACAATCCATCTATTCATGTTGATTTGCCGATGCACCACCTGTGTCAACTACTGTGCTAATTTGCTGTGTTTTGGCGGCGCGCTGCTCCGCTCGTTGTTGTGAGCGTCGCTCCTCCGCCCTCCGTAGTTGTTGGAGGGCGACTGCCTCCAACTGCTAATGACTCGCAGGAGGTCTGCGGATAATTCATTATCGTGGATAATCCAAAAATATAATTAATTTGCGGATCTCTATGCCAAAAACTAATGATTGATGCGCGTGCACGGTGATAATAACAATTTCTGCTCACGCGCAGAAGATTCCGCCCACTAAGTGGATAGCAGAGCCACGCCAATTAAAATCAATTAAACTCCATCCACTTCTGTAAAGATATGCAACTACTGTAATATAGAGGTAATAACGTGTATTTAACATTAACCAGAGCAACATATTTATTCGGTTTAAGCACGTGACTTGTAATACACATTTCCAAGCATAACAATGTATAACTGTTTTTAGAGTATTAATTTGGGCTCAAGGGAAAATCCGAGTTATTATTGTATGTCAAAATTTCAGGTGCACAGTTAATCCGCAAATTGGATAAACTACATGCGGATAATCGAGAGTCTACCATATTACTATTTTTATGTTTGATTACACGGATATAGATCACAAAGCACCAGGTTGGGTTTTCTCCCCCTACTGTACCACTGGGAACAATGCAATGAAATGAGTCGAGACATATGCAGATGACGTGATGACACTTCACATCCTACTAATTTACGTTGTCACAAGCAATGAAATGAGTCGAGGTGAGTGTAGATAATGATGATGTGATGCTGCATCCTCACGGTGTACATGCTGACATCACGTGCAATGTTTTTCGTCATTCGCCCTGCTCCTGGCCCCTAATTGGCCTTGTGAAGCCGGAATATCACGATTTTCTTCCAGCTCGACTCAGGAAATAGCCAGTGGAAAGACCACCCATAGCATTCAGGCCCGCGCTGGCTAGGCTCACGTTCTGGCAGTGACATAGCCAACACGGCGATGGCGTGTAGTGTAGTGTATCAACAAGCCTCGATTATTGCAACTCACTACCCTATGGGACGTCTGCCAAAAACATTAGCAAGTTGCAGCGTGTACAAAATTATTTTGCACGTGTCGTGACGGGTACTTCAAGATCCGACTGCGTCCGTCCAGTGTTCGCTGAGCTGCATTGGTTTCCGGTTGCTGAACGAATATATTATAATTTCGCACTCATGCACAAAGTGCTTACCACAAATTAACCACAATACCATGCTGATCTCGTCGATGGATAGCGGCTTTTGGCTAGCAATCAAGCAAAGACGGTCACCGCCTTGTGCGGTGCTTTTGGATGCGCTTCTGCGGCTATGTAATGCTCTTCCTTCCGATATTAGGAAGTTACTAGAGCTATGCACTTTTAAATCATCATCTAGATTGACACACTAAATTATTTAACAGCCTTTTATCATCATGTGGAAAATAATAGCAATCAAATGCTCTAAACGGAAGACCCGGATAAAAAAAAAACATGCGACCACGGGGAGAGAGAGAGACACCACACACTTCAAATATACAGCAGCCATCGTCGGGGTCGGGATCGACCTCACGACCTCCTGTATAGTGGGCGAGGCAGTTAACATCTCCTAACCTCCGCGGCGGGTAGCAAAGGAAGCCATGAAACTGGCACAAGACAGGAACAAGTGGAACAATATTCCTGAGTTTAATGTTAGGTGCAGAGCTGCAGCGATATAATTTTATCGTCACGTGATATAATAACTTACAGTAGATCATCGATTGTCTGGCGGTGCCGGGCCGATCTGTCGGAAACAGCCAAACCGCCCCAAAAAAGGCTGTGACCCAGACCAACGATCGGCACCATGTGCGTGACAAAAAAAAGTAGCGATGCTCGATTCAGTGTCTAATATATATACAGTATATTATACACTGTGTACAACAACTTAAACAATGAAAATACTGCACGTATACACATTTTTCATGACGAATAACTTCAGTGCTAAAAACTCAAAATATACAGTTCGATCCGGTAAAAAGCGCGTTGTGTAATTTGGCGTTTGCCAGAGCACCCGGTCTAAAGGCTGCATCAGTCCGACGACCCTCAAACACAAATTGTTGAAACAAGAGCATAGTATTACTATGTATATCACCCCATGCAAAGCCTTTGAGATTGAAGTGGTAAATACGGTACAGTAAATACGGTAACTTTTTACAGTTTTTTGGTCTTATTTGTACGTTTATTCAGAATAATTTTAGATAGTAAAAAAATAGAAAACGCTAAAAAAACATACGCAACACCTTAAAACATAATATGATCCACAAGAATGTGCAAAATAACCTGTTTAAAATAATGGTGATTTAGTGATTATTCGTCGCTTTTGACAATTCTGCGGCCCAGAAGCCGCCAGATAATTAATCGATGATCGTCAGTAATTCACAATATGCTGATTGTATTCTACACGTGGGTCCTCCTCACCACCCACGTGTCTTCTATGCAATACAAAAAAAATTAAGATATAAAAGTGAGGAGTAGATGGTTAAGGGCATTGAATTGTACAGTTTTACAAATCCACTTTCTTCAGTACATTTGTAATTAGTGCAGATATGTTTTACCCTGTCAGACAAAGCAGGTGCTATGTTAAGATGCATCATGATCCACACAAAGTCCTTGTGGAAAAACATGGAAACAAACATGGTCTAATAATTATATATACATTGTCTTGGAAACTGATTGGCCTACATCAGAGACAGCCTTCTTCATGGCATTGTCTCACCACCAGTATCAGACCAGAGGACGCCAAAAGGCGAACAATAAAAAGACAATATGAAGTAAGCTGGGTATCTCAGTTCACGGTGTCATTAATTTACTATTGTAATTCGTCTTGATTATTATTTTAAGCTTATGTTAAATTGTAATTACATTGCCAAGGGAACATTGCTATGTTGATAGTTTTAACTAATTTTATGTATTTTGAACTTCTTCTACATGACATCAGTGTAAAGTTTATTAACAGAGCTCTGAAATACCAGGTGATGTGACGTGTGCTATACAAACACAGGTGGGAATGTTCTGCCTACCAGTTATTCAATGAAAAGTGACAAAGATCTCCCCGTATAGCCTTAACAATCTATACGGGCAAGTGCTGTTAGCGAGCACCTATGAAGGCCGGCACGGCACACGAGGGGGTGGGTGGCCAACATCACGGCCGGCCGCCTTTGTTTCCCTAGTGGCGATGTTTACTCCACACTGCACCAGGTACTCATTTGAGGCTAAGTCAACCTAGGGGAGGCCCGGAACCGGTTGAAATAATCGTCAAATCGTGTTGGCTGTGAGCAGAAATCGAACCCGGGTCGCCGGCTTCGTCGCACGGTTCGCTAACCACTACACTACCAATCCCCAACACGCACACACATATCATATTTTGGATCTGCACGTAATTTGGCCAAATTCCCGCTCTGAGGATTAAATTTTGTTGAATGGTCATGCCACAAACATTAGTCTCATATGGCAGAGCCCCTCCTCTGTGGAGCAGAGGTGGCGTTTTCGTCATCCGTATCAGGTGGCCAATCTCAGACGTAAAAGGTCGCACTCCTCTGTGTGAGTTCCAAATGTATTCTTCATCTCGTGGCATGAGAGTTTCAGTCGTGATATAATTGTGGCAAAGTAACAACAAATGTAATGCATGGATTTCGCAACGGTTCCCAAACACGCATTTGTCCTCGAAAGTATATATTTTTGTTATTTTTAGAAAAAATGGAGGTTAATGACATAATTAAAACTATTAACAATAACAATTGGACAGGGCATGTCCTGGCTTGATGCAATTAATGCCGACAGTCAATAATAGCGATGGAGTGACAGCCAATGAATGCATCTGAGAGAACGTTCATTGAGGAGATGGAGCAACGTAATCAGCTCACGTGAAAGATGCTCGGTGGATTGTTACTCTTACAAGCGTGTGAGATATGTGATAGCAAATTTGGGTCTTCATCCAACAGTGGATTTACTATTGTTAATTCTATTGCCTCACAGCGTTTGAACTGGATAAAGTTAATGTCACGTAACACTTGATGTTGTGACATACACGTGCAGTGTGCTGGTTCATCTGCATGGGATTACAAGGCTAACCTTTGTCATGTAATCTTATCACCACATTTTTTCAGACCTTTGTGATAAATGGTTGCAGTTGTCTACAGGGTAAATCCTTATAGCAAAGCCGATGTATACAACGTCAGATTAATCATGATACGCCTTTGTGAATGTTATTATGCCAGCTTTGAAGACAGACAGACAGATATATGGAGAGACAGGCAGAGCAGATGCATAAACGAGTTTGGAAAATACTTACATATACAAATGTATTGTTTGATTTAAAAACCAAAAACCCAATGAGCTTCATAAGCTTGACGGATATTAGATTTAAACAGCTCCCATCTCTCACACGCAGGCCAATGAGCAGCACGACATCTGGCTGTTCATCATGGCCATGCTGTTGTGCAACGTGCTGGTCTACAACACCGAGAAGACTCTGGATAACAAGAGCCTGGAGCAGCTGCGGTATCCTTCACCATGCCCATGCTAACATCTGTGTGAAACTTGGGGTGACATTGGGTGGACGGACGTGTTGATTGAACGAAAGTCGCTGTCATGCACCGGTACTACCACGCGTCATCTGATATGACCCATTACGTCCACTCCAGTCACAAGCTGCCTATCTCCTTGCTGTCCTTCCACTGCCCTGCGCCCAGTCTCACTTTTGCTCTTTCTCTCTGTTTGCCCCCTTATACTGGAACAAACTCCTTCTCCACATCTGACTCTCCCCCTCACTTTCCTCTTTTTGCTTTGCCCTCAGGTCCTACAGTGAGGGAAAAAAGTATTTGATCCCCTGCTGATTTTGTACGTTTGCCCACTGACAAAGAAATTATCAGTCTATAATTTTAATGGTAGGTTTATTTGAAGAGTCAGACAGAATAATAAAAAAAATCCGTAAAAACGCATGTCAAAAATGTTATAAATTGATTTGCATTTTAATGAGGGAAATAAGTATTTGACCCCCTCTCAATCAGAAAGAAATCTGGCTCCCAGGTGTCTTTTATACAGGTAACGAGCTGAGATTAGGAGCACACTCTTAAAGGGAGTGCTCCTAATCTCAGCTTGTTACCTGTATAAAAGACACCTGTCCACAGAAGCAATCAATCAATCAGATTCCAAACTCTCCACCATGGCCAAGACCAAAGAACTCTCCAAGGATGTCAGGGACAAGATTGTAGACCCACACAAGGCTGGAATGGGCTACAAGACCATTGCCAAGCAGCTTGGTAAGAAGGTGACAACAGTTGGTGCGATTATTCACAAATGGAAGAAACACAAAATAATTGTCAATCTCCCTCGGCCTAGGGCTCCATGCAAGATCTCACCTCGTGGAGTTGCAATGATCATGAGAACGGTGAGGAATCAGCCCAGAACTACACGGGAGGATCTTGTCAATGATCTTAAGGCAGCTGGCACCATAATCACCAAGAAAACAATTGGTAACACACTATGCCGTGAAGGACTGAAATCCTGCAGCGCCCGCAAGGTCCCCCTGCTCAAGAAAGCACATATACATGCCCGTTTGAAGTTTGCCAATGAACATCTGAATGATTCAGAGGACAACTGTGTGAAAGTGTTTGGAGGAGGAGGAATGCTGCCTATGACCCCAAGAACACCATACCCACCGTCAAACATGGAGGTGGAAACATTATGCTTTGGGGGTGTTTTAGTGCTAAGGGGACAGGACAACTTCACCGCATCAAAGGGACGATGGATGGGGCCATGTACCGTCAAATCTTGGGTTAGAACCTCCTTCCCTCAGCCATGGCATTGAAAGTGGGTCGTGGATGGCTATTCCAGCATAACAATAACCCAAAACACACGGCGAAGGCAACAAAGGAGTTGCTCAAGAACATCAAGCACATTAAGGTCCTTGAGTGGCCTAGCCAGTCTCCAGACCTTAATCCCATAGAAAATCTATGGAGGGAGCTGAAGGTTCGAGTTGCCAAACGTCAGCCTCGAAACCTTAATGCCTTGGAGAAGATCTGCAAAGAGGAGTGGGACAAAATCCCTCCTGAGATGTGTGCAAACCTGGTGGCCAACTACAAGAAACGTCTGACCTCTGTAATTGCCAACAAGGGTTTTGCTACCAAGTACTAAGTCATGTTTTGAGAGGGGGCAAACACTTATTTCCCTCATTAAAATGCAAATCAATTGATAACATTTTTGATGTGCGTTTTTCTGGATTTTTTTTGTTGTTATTCTGTCTCTTACTGTTCAAATAAACCTACCATTAAAATTATAGACTGATCATTTCTTTGTCAGTGGGCAATCGTACAAAATCAGCAGGGGATCAAATACCTTTTTACCTCACTGTATCTATTGCTTTTTATCTTTCTCCACCCCGACCTGTACCACCTAATTCCCCTAACCCCTTCCCAAGCCCAGCCTTCCCCTCGCTCCCTCAACCCTAGTCAATACCCCATCCCCCATGTTCCTAGAGCCCTTACTTCACCCCTAGCCACTGCCCCTACCTCTTTGTTCCCTGAACGCTGCCTCACCCCCTGCCCTTACGGGCAGCCCTTACAGGCAGCCCTTACGGGCAGCCCAACTGGCTGGACTCCAAACCACTGCTGCTGCCTCATCAATGTACTTTCATTTACAAATCCCACAACCCGTTGAACCTATCATTCTGTACAATCCTTTCATACCATACCATCGATCTTCACGCTATTCCCTTCTACCAGCCTCATTCACTATCACACTCCAACCATTACTCCTTCAACCCCGTGCACTATCATCTCCTTTCCCTGCTGCCACATCTCATTCCTTTTTTAAATGCGATTACTGATGACTGTAACTACCCCAGCCATCCTTCCCTTATTTTGCGATTTTGTAAAATAGTCAGCAAGCAGTCAATCACCTTGGCGAAAGGCCCCTTATAATTCCAAAATATAATAGAAGACAAAGCCCACAATCGTCCACGGTACTTGTTCATCGCTAAGCCAAGAGCCGCTTATGCGAGTATGACCGGAATTTGCGTGATGATGGTTTATATTCCTTGACGAGATCAGCAACGTCATTGGGGTTCATTTGTGGCAAACACTTTGTGCATAATGAGTGCGACCTTAGAACAATGTATTAGTTCAGCAAAGGGAAGCCAATGCAGATCAGCGAGCAATGGATGGACACGGTCAATTTTTTGCAGCACCCATCAAGACACGTGCCAAAGAATGTTGAAACTATGATAATTCATAATAGAGTTTTTTTTAGTTATCATACTGTCATTAAAGCTAATTTAATATTTTTGATTAAGTTGGTTAATTGCCATGCACAAAACATGCTCACAAACAAGACAAAGATCCCCCGACTAGCTTTAACAAACGGGCCAAGTGTGTAAGTCAACACCTATGAAGGTCGGTATGTCACACGAGAGGTGGGTGGCCAACACCACGCCCAGTCGACTTTGTCTCAATAATAGCGATGTTTACTAGACACCGCACCAGGTACTCATTTGAGTCTGAGTTGTCCTAAGAGAGTTCCATGACCGGTGCAGATAATGTCTCTGGCCTTGAGCGGGAATCGAACTTGTAATGCCGGGGTTCGTTGTGCCGCGCACTAACCATTGCACCACCGCTCCCACCAGCCACCCTTCACAGTGCCACCACTATGCCCCCTCTTCAGCATGGTGAATCATGTGGCTTGCACCCCACAGCAAAGGAGACTGGTAAGCAAACTGTGGGCCGTGGTGTGCCCTCTGCCGCCCCAGGACGCATTTGATTGATCGGTCTCCACTCGTTACGCAAACATTCGCTCGTTCTACAAACAAATTGGACGAAATTGTAATTCCTCGTTATAGCGAATTCTCACGAAGAACGAACGATCGTCATGCTAGACGCCTTGTAAACTAATTAGCGGAAATTAAGGATTGCCAAATGTATCTGAAGTTTAATGGCACTGTGTCCAAATATGCCGAGACCTGCTGAACTCACAGCCTGCTTAAATCCGGGATGGATCGTAACATAAATGTTTCAAACCGGTGCAGATGTTCCTTTTCAAGGGGACCACATTTCTCAAGCATACATATATAACAAACAAAGACAAAAATTACCCATACAGTTTAACAGACTGTTGGGGCAGGTGGGTGCAGCTATGAAGGCCAGAACGGCATGCAAGGGGGTGGGGTGGCCAGCACCACGCCCGACCGACCGCCTTTTTCTCCCTAGTGGCAATGTTTACACACCACACCAGGTACTAATTTCAGGCTGAGACGACCTAAGGAAGGCCCAGGACCGGTTCAAATATTCGTCACTAGTGTTGGCCATGAGCGGGAATCGAATTCGGGTCGCCGGGTTTGTAGTGCAATGCGCTAACCACTACACTACCGCTCCCCACATACATGAACATATATACACACGTACATAGACACCAACTTTACTCCAGTGACCCGGGTGCTACGGGGTCCACTTTCTGCCCGCCCCCGCCCCTTCTCTCTCCCCCCATGCAGCCGGTCTCTCCAGTGCTGCCGCGGTGGTCCACTTTACTCCAGTGACCCGGGTGCTGCTGCAGGGTCGACTTTCTGCCTCGCCCCCCCCCCCCCCCCTTCTCTCTTTCCCCCTACTGCCGAGGCCTATATATCCTCGTGCCACGGCAGATCTCTCGCCTACTTCATCAATTTTTTTTCTTGTTGTGGTTGTCCCACCTGATGACGATTGCTTGTGTTGCGATCTAAACGTCGTGATCTATTATTTTCATACCTACGTGACTTTACCGAAAGAACCAAAGAGTATATATACATTTAGATTGATTGATTGGCATAGGAATACTAAAGACGAGATGGGGGAGTTGAGATAATGTTATGGCAGTAGCGCAAATGAATAAACTTCATAAGGCCAGTGACATAGTAAAAAATAGGTAGAGGAAGCTCTTGAACCTAGACTTGAACAGAAATAGCGAATCAATAGTGAAGGAATTCCAAACTGGGGACAGCAGAGAGGAGAATAAACAAACCCCAGGATTGCATGACGTTGACTGAGAGATTTCGACAGAACACAAATGAATAAACTTCATAAGGCCAGTGACATAGTAAAAAATAGGTAGAGGAAGTTCTTGAACCTAGACTTGAACAGAAATAGCGAATCAATAGTGAAGGAATTCCAAACTGGGGACAGCAGAGAGGAGAATAAACAAACCCCAGGATTGCATGACGTTGACTGAGAGATTTCGACAGAACACAAATGAATAAACTTCATAAGGCCAGTGACATAGTAAAAAATAGGTAGAGGAAGTTCTTGAACCTAGACTTGAACAGAAATAGCGAATCAATAGTGAAGCAATTCCAAACTGGGGACAGCAGAGAGGAGAATAAACAAACCCCAGGATTGCATGAAGTTGACTGAGAGATTTCGACAGAACACCTTGTTTGCTGGGGAGCAAAGAGTGCGTGGAGGAGAGTAGAATGAGATGAGATGGGAGCGATAGAAGAGTGCGTGGAGGGAAGCAGAAAAAATGGGAGGGGAGAGGTTGGACCGTGTGCAGGAGAGTACTGTGAGATCAGTCTCCATATATTTGAGAGATGCATTGTTTGTAGATCCCTTAACCCTGCCACCTGTCCAGCTACGTGAAGAACATGTCAGAGCACGTGCGATCCCAGATATTCTCCCGAGGCGACAAACCCAGCATCCTGGAAAGCCACTTACCATCCCTGGTTGTGTGTGTGCGGGACTGTGCACTGAAGCTGGAATGGGATGAGAAGCCGTGCACTCCCGACGAGTACATGGAGAAGTGCTTCCAGGTCCGCAGGAGCAATTCCCTGAAAGATGAAGAATTCAACAGGGAACGCGACCTCATGTGCGCGTATTTTAAAGTGAGTAATCATACACGGGTGTGTATGCATACAAGCTGCTTGGGTATGCCGTGGCTGGGCATACAGGCTACATGTTCCTGTCAATGCAGCCTCGTCCTGTATCATCCTTTGCGTGGCTCCAGAATCAAAGGACCGAGCAACCTCTTTCCTACACTGCGATAGAGATAGCCAGTTGTGTGCATAGTAGCGTTTACAAGTGATAATTGGTGTTACCCTTTCTGACAGTAAAACAGGTGTGAAGCTGACGTAAAGCTTTCGTAACTTCGTGGCTATACCGAAAGACACAAAGAATAGGTGTGAAGATGTTCTAACACTAGATACCTTTTTGCGAGGCATCAAGTCTGCATAAACCACATACTTGTGGCTAAAGATGCAAATAAGCATGCTCTGATAGTGTATGCATTGTCCTTGAAACAAAGACAGCGTTCTTCATGGCCTTGTCTCACCACCAGTGTCCGTACACCAGAGACCGGCAACATGCAAAGAGTACAAAGACAATGCAAGTATCAGTACACTTTCAGCTCATGTAGAGGCAGGGAATCTTGATAGGGCCTTTTAGAGAAAATGACCAATACACCTCAATAATGACCACCATTCCGCAACAGCTCTGGATCCACCAGCCATGGAGTCGGTTTGGATGGTGAAGGAGCCACAGGGGGTGCTAAGAATCAATTAGTATGGACAGGACGCCTTCTGGATTTGACCATCGATATGGGCAACACCACACGGACTCTGTGTAGGGAATCAGACCTTGTTAATTTTGGAGACAGAATTGGAAAAAAAACTAGTTGGTTTTGAGCAGCTTAAGAGTTCATGGAAGTTTTTCTTTCAGCTTACACGAAGGTAAAATTTCGACTTAAAACTTTCGTAACGGCAGGAATTCATATTATTTGTTTCTTTCGGTAAAGTCACGTAGATAGAAAAATAATAATAATAATAATTAAGTGAATAAAAAAATATTGAAAATGAAATAAAAATAATAAAAAACAAAAAAAAACACTAGTGTAGACTGTAGCCTGTTTTTTTAATCAAAGTTAGTGTACTGGTAGTTTATAATGTAGACTGTAACCTGATTATTAAGTTTGGTGAGTGTACTGGCAGCCTATAATGTAGACTGTAGCCTAGTTTTTAAGCTTGGTGAGCATATTGCCAGTCTATAATGTAGACTGGAGCAATGGTTATTAAACTGAGTGAGCGTACTGGAAGTCTATAATGTAGATTGTAGCCTGGTTTTTAACCTGAGTGAGTGTACAGGCAGTCTATAATGTAAACTTATTCTTAGTTCTTTTGGTAATACAAAAAAACACGACGTTTCGATCACAACACAAGCAATCGTCTTCAGGAGAAAAGAGGGGGGAGGTCACCGAAGGCAACCGTTTATAAAGGTTTCAAATATGGGTGTGGCACAAGCGCTCCGGACCGTGTTCATGAGCATAAGGCAGATTTGAAACACGGTAGGACCAATACTCCTGCCGTGGCTGATCATTATTTTAATTCATCTGGCTCTCACGAAATTAATGTCTCTAAGACCATGGCACTTTGCAGCGCCCATTGTCTATCAACAAATATTAGTTCATTAAGTCATCCATATATACAGACACAGGCACAATTTCAGCCGAGAGGATGGTTATAAACTCAGCAATCATTGGAAAGATGACATCAACTACTTTGGGTCATGACTTGATTTGTGGCATTTTCTTGTTATCTTACCCCAGGGCATATATGCCCCGCCCACATCTTTGTGCCGGCGGAGCGCTTGTGCCACACCCATTTTTGAAACCTTTATAAACGGTTGCCTTCGGTGACCTTCCCCCTCTTTCCTCCTCTTTCCTCCTGAAGACGATTGCTTTTGTTGTAATCGAAACATCGTGGGTTTATTTATTTATTTTATTGCCGAAAGAACCAAGAATAAGTCTACATTATAGACTGCCAGTACACTAACTCAAGTTAAGAACCAGGCTAGAGTCTACATTATAGACTGCCAGTACACTCACCCAGCTTAATAACCATTTATACAGTCTACATTACAGACTGCCAGTACACTCACCAAACTTAATAACCAGGCTATAGTCTACATCATATACCGCCAGTACACTCACTCCGATTAATAACCAGGCTTTTGTCTAAATTAGTGTTTTTTTTTGTTTTTTTATTATTTTTACCATTTATAATAATTTTATTTTATTCACTTAATTTAAAATCCATCAGAGCTGAATCAAATCGAAACCGAATTTCTGCTGAGCTGATGAAACCAAATCTCATTGCATCGTGCGATCATTTTAAAGTGCTGACAGTGAGCAACAAAAAAATAATTGGTTTTACTCTTTCTGGCAATAACACAGGTGTTTAGACTTAAAACACCAATCATTATTTTTTTGCAAAGAATCTGCATTAACCACACATACTTGTGAACATGCATGATGTAAGAAAACACGAGTTACAGAAACACATCGGCATACATCTCGTGATGCCCCTCGTATGACTCAGATGCAGTGTGCCACTTGCCATGAAGGGTGGGAATGGAACCTAGGGTGCTGCGATGCATAAAATGTCGCACCAACAATTATCATGCCATGGTAACGTTTTTTTTATCTCACACCATGGTAATTTACTTAACACTCAGGTTTTTTTTTTTTATCTTTCACATTTTTACATTCATAACCACGTGTCTTCTTTATTTGTCCTACCAAATGTTTTTATTCAGAAACAAAAGCATTTGCGCTCGTATTAAATATATTTTATACCAACTAGCACGTTCCATTGATTTTAAAATACACTATACACTACATCACACTTTTGTCATGTATTTAAAATTCAGACTACACTGCATAATGGTATAAGAAAACACTTAATAACGTAAATGTTATTTACTACTCACATCACCAGGATACAAGATTTGAGCTTTAACAGGGATGGAAGGGCACGTAATCCACACTTCGCAAATTAAGCTTTGGCTGAGGAAATTTGGCATCCAAACCTGAATTGAATCCGAAATTTGGCTTCAGATCCGCGCGACTTCTATTAAAGACCATTCGAGCTCCAACAACAAGTCACAATGAAAGCGATCAAATTCATGGGGACGTGACAAAAGTACGAAATTAGAGTAAAGCGCATTATAGCATTCAACTATTTATTTCGTATGCATCTATATCAGCAGATTAAATATGTAATTTTAGATGTGTTATCCACTCAATTGTCTGTTCAGACACAGAGTTGATCTCGTCTGTTGCTCATATAAAGGAGTCAAGACAGCAGCTGTTTACAATGTGATTGATCATTTGGGATTCGTGGCTGCACTCGCAGGCTGCAGAATCTTTGATGCGCCATTTTTGCATCAGGTGGCCGCAGCGGCCATGCCTGGTCTTGATTCGGTCGATGGTCGACCATTGGCAGCATTGAAGGTTGAAACTGGGAGGTTCGATGATCGGGTCCTGTATGTTTATTTCTTGATGTCGACCGCAGTCCAGACTTGCTTCCATCGCCTTCATTGGTATTTGTGGCGTGGAGTGAAGCTGCTGTGATCCAGAAGGGGTTGCGTGATTTTAGGCAAACAGGCGACGCTGGATTTAAGTCCCATTGTATTGGAAGGTAGGGGTTGACGAATATTTTTTGGTACTCCTCGATGGCCGCTGTTTAATGACAGATTTGTGGCAGAGCAATGTGGCTCAGCACTGGGAGCCACTGGGTCAGCATCGACTCCAGCATATCTGAGATTGCATGCATTGCATTGTCCAGTTGTGTGTCGATAACTAGAGTGTGAGGACTGTGTCCCCACAAAAGTGAGCAATACTCTCTTGTCGAATACACGAGGGCAAATGTGGCAGTCCGTAGTGTTTGCGCATAACATCCCCAACTAGTTCCCGCCAGTTTATGGAGGATGTTTGTGCAGGTTTGTATCTTGTTGCTCAATTGCTCAATATGTTGCTTGAAAGTGAGATTTCGATCAAGCACCACTCCAAGGTATTTCGGAAGTGGGTCGTGGATAATGGTGTTTCCACAAAACTCGATTTTCAGCATGTTATTTTCCTGATGGCATGGCAGCCAAGGAATGTAATGCATTGGGAGGTCCACCTTGAAGGTTTGGTCAATACATCAGATCATACCCAAGTGCTTGGTATATGTTTACATTGCAGAATATTAACTTGCAGGATCGTGAGAGATGGCAGTGGTTTGGGGAACCCGACATTAAACAGTGGATTGACCATGGCTGATGGTAGCAAGGATAGTCAGTGCATTCTCGTTGTTGAACTGTCGTTGTTGTCTTCCTGCAGAAACGCAAGTGCTTCATGTTCCCCATGCCCGCGCACCCAGAAGACATGGACCAGCTGGAGAATAAACTCAGCAAGAAGTTTCTCAAAGTGACGGAGGAGTTCACCTCTCACATCTACCAGATCATCAAATACAAGAACATCGATGGGGTCATCCTCACTGGCCAACGTGAGGACAGCTCAGCACATTCTCGTTAAGCCTGCCCTATTGTGGTTCATGTTCATTTATTGTTAAAAGTAAAATGCGGTTTGCAACATTTTTGGAGCAAAAAGTTTAGATGTACTTCATCAATTTACACAGTTGTGCTTTGTCACACTCTCGTGTGCTGTGAGAGTGTGATGACGTGAGGTTGTACTACCCCACGTTGTTCAGCACAATGTGTGACGTTGCACTCCATAGTTTGGGAGTTTATTCAGGAACTTAATTGTTGAGTTCTAAATTGCTCACTCTTGAATAACTTTTGGTTCTCAAAGTCCAACCCTCCTCTGCCCCCTGTCCACGCTGTGGAAGCTGCGCAATAGGTATGTGTTTAGGGGACAGCCATGACTCCAGGTCGCTATGGTACCCATGAAGGCATCTTAGGATCATTGATAATACCCTGGCTGATGGAGCTATGGCACGTGTCTGGCAGTGGTTGAATGGGCACAAGTGGATACCTGTATCCTCGACAGCTGTGGACATCTAGCAACAGCAGTGCCTTTTGCATCTTCGGCGGAAAAAAAAAAACTGCTCTTTGGGTCAAAGGCGAAGACGTGTTCTCTTTTACTGCACTCTGCGTCTCCCCTGCCTGATGGAGGCAGAGCATTCTGGGTAACCCAAATGTGTAAAATGAAAAGACAACATTACAGCACTAGGGGTTTCAGCCCCTGATTTAAATTGTCCATGGTACACAACGATCAGGCAATGTTCGGATGACTGGCATAGCTCAAAGCCACCGCTAGGGAAGGTTATGCCACGATGGAGTTGCCCACTGAAGGATTGTAACCTTATCGTGGTGGTGGGGTTTGTGTATTCCAATCATCCTCAGAGCTATGTCGCCTGGAGTCTTGTACTTCTGGTGGGGTCTCCTTTGGCGAACAGGTCCGGGGGGAGGTTACAGACAAATAACGGTCCAATCAAAAGCCCCTTATGAATGGTTATGAAATATAAAAATCAGAGAACCTCGCCCAGACAAGGTATACCCAGAGCCAGGCCTGGGGCTGGTGTTTGCTGGAAGCGCCTGGTGGCCGAGTGACCCAGGTAACCTGGTTGGGCCTAGCCCGAAATGGCTACAAGGCGCTGTCCTGTGGCCTACCATTTACACAACGAAGGGTGAGGAGCGGATGTGATGCTAGTATGGTAGGGAGGGGGATGGTCTCAGACGGACTAGACCAATGACACTAGCTATTGGGACGTGGAATGTCACGTCACCGGGGGGGGGGGGGGGGGGGGGGGGGGGGGGGGGGGGGGGGGGGGGGGGGGGGGGGGGGGGGGGGAAAGAGCCGGAGCTGGTGGAGGAGGTGGAAAGATATCGACTAGATATAGTCGGTCTCACCTCCATACACAACATTGGCACTTGAACCAAACTTCTCGATCGGGGGTGGTCTCTTTCCCATTCCAGAGTAACCGCAAGTGAGAGGCCCTGGGCGGGTGTGGGGATGCTCACACACCCCTGGCTGAGTGCTGTTCAGCCCAGAACACCAGAGGTCGCTTCAATGAGACTTCGGGTCTCAGAAAGGAAGCTCTGAATGTTGTTTCTGCTTATGCACCAAATAGCAGTTCAGAGTATTCGGCCTTCTTGGAGATGGTGGGTGCAGTGGTCGATAGATTGCCGCCTAACGACTCCATAGTCTTACTGGGTGACTCCAATGTTCATGTGGGAAACGATGGAGTTACCTGAAGAGGCGTGATTAGGAGGAATGCTCCCCCCCCTGATCTGAACCCGAACAGTGAGATGTTATTGAAATCTGTAATAGTCACGGAAAGTCAATAACAGACACCATGTTCGAACTGAGGATGCTCATAAGTGTACTTGGTTCCAGAGCATCATGGGCCGAAAGTCAATGATTGACTTTATAGTTGTATCATCAGACCTATGGCCGTATGTTTTGGACACTACCACCATATAGAGGTGGAAGGCCCAAACGAATAGTGCGTGTTGTCTGGGAATGTCTGGAAAAAGACCCAGTGCAGAGAGGATTAAACGTCCACCTCCAAGATAACTTCTCCTACGCTCCAAAGGAGGTCATGGAGATTGAGTCCGAGTGGACAATGTTCAGGACCTCCATTCTCGATGCATTGGGGAACGTGTGGCCCAGGCTGTTCTCAGTAAGGGTGGCGTAACATTGAACTCAACTAAGGAGATAGTCGAGAGGTGGAAGGAACACTTTGAGGAGCTCCTCAATCCGGTGGACATGCCCTCCTCTCAGGAGGTAGCTCTGGAAACAGCTGTGGGGGTCGGATCCATCACGGCTGCTAAGGTTGCTGCGGCAATTGAGGGCCATCATAGCGGCAAAGCTGCTGGTGTGGACGAGATTATCCTAGAGTTGTTGAACGTGCTGGACAATGTAGGAGTATCGTGGTTAACGTGCCTCTTCATAGTTGCATTGAAGGGGGATACAGTACCTCTGGATTGGAAAACTGGGGTTGTGGTCTATATTTTTAATAAAGGGGACCAGAGGGTGTGCTCTAACTACAGAGGGATCACAATCTTTAGTGTCCCAGGCAAATACTCAGACAGCATTAACCACAAAGCGGTCTCTCCAACCATGAAGAAACAACCCCCTGAGACGCCGCTCAAAACCATCACGTTACCATACATAGCAGGTGTTACCAAAAAAGATTGTCAAAATCTTAAACAAACACAAGATCCAGGTCCGATTCAGTACAGTACACAAAATCCGTGATCTAATCCCATCTTCTTTGGTTCTTTCGGTAAAGTCATGTAGAATGAGAATAAAATAATAAAATAACACAATAAAATTATCACAACGTTTCGGCCACAATGCAAGCGGCCGTCTTCAGGTGAAAGGTACAGACCTGTCGGGACGACAGAGCTTCAAAAAAGACGGCCGCTTGCGTTGTGGCCGAAACGTCGTGAGAATTTTATTGTGTTATTTTATTATTTTATTCTCATTCTACGTGACTTTACCAAAAGAATCAAAGAAAATGAATCCTTGCAGTCACGAAAGCTTTAAATCGAAATCTAATCCCATCTGTGAAAGATGTCATTCCTGACTTGCAATACCCTGGAGTCTACAAACTAAGTTGCATCTGTGGTGATTGTTACATTGGCGAAACGAAACGTCATGTCTCTGACCGTATCCGTGAGCACAAGTCAGATCTGAAACACGGCAGAACTAATTCCTCCACCGTTGCTGATCAATACTATAATGCTGTGGGATCTCATGATATTGTTTTTTCCGATACCAAGGTGCTCTGCAAACCGTCTGGTTACTATCAAAGGTTTGTTCATGAAGCCATCCAGATATACTGTACAAACATAGACATAACGTCAACCGAGAAGATGGATACAAATTGAATTGAGTAATCATTGGAAATATGTTATGAATCAGGTAAAACCATAACTACGTTGTGTTGTTGTTTTTTGCAGCATTTTCAGTGTCTTCAGCTTCCCAGTCTTGCTTGCTCTCCCGTCCTCCCACCTCCCCTTCAGCTGTCGTCGTCGGTTCCATTTTCCCTCCCGCCTCCTCTTTGATCTCTCTGCGCCCTGCCCCACGCAACCCCCCCCCCCCCCCCCCCCCTCTGTATCTCCCCAGTGGCTCCTCCCCCTCCCTATCTTATTTATATAGTGTCTTGTTTAACTGCAGCCCTATTGCCCATTCCAGCAGTTGTTTCTAGCTGTGGCGGGCGCTTATGTTGCGCCGGAAACGTCGTGATTTTTTTTTATTTTTTTACCTACGTGACTTTACCGAAAGAACCAAAGAGTATGGATCCTTGCAGTCACAAAAACTTAAAATCTAGTTGTCTTCTTTGCCTCGTCAATCTGTGACCTCCAGCGTGCACTTGAACGGTTTGATGCCGAGTGTGAAGCGCCTGGGTTGAGGATCAGCAGGTGAGGGGGGAACAGCTTCCCTTATTGGAGGAGTTTAAGTACCTCTGGTTCTCTTTCGTGAGTGATGGTAAGTGGGAGTGGGAGATCGGCTGGTGGATTGGTGTGGCATCGGCAGTGATGCGGGCTCTTTACGGTTCTGTGATAGTGAAGCGGGAGCTGAGTTCTCGAACAAAGCTCTCAGTTTACAGGTCGATCTATGTTCCCACCCCCAATTATGGTCATGAGCTTTGAGATCGTGGCTACAAGGGTGACATTAGGTTTCTCTGCAGGGTTGCCGGGCTCACTCTCCATGATTGGGTGAGGAGCTCTGTAATCTGGGAGAGCCTCAGAGTCGAACCACTGCTCCTCCAGATCGAGAGGAGCTGGTTGAGGTGTTTTGGGCACCTGGTAAGGATGCCCCCCGTAGACTCTCCCTGGAACTCTACCAGGCACGTCCAACTGTGCTAAGACCCCGGGGCCAGCCCAGGACACGCTTGCAAACCTATGCCGCTCAGCTGGCCTGGGAACGCCTGGGAATTCCCCAAGAAGAGCTAGAGTCTGACGCCAGGGAAAGGGAGGTCTGGACCGCCCTACTCAATTCATGCCACCGCGACCCTACCAGGACAAGCGGATTGAGAAATTAATGAATGATCGGAGTTGCCAGTAACGACACCAAAGAATGTCAAGTCAGACCTGCGAGAAACATTCCGGATTAGTGCCTGGAATGTGCTCGCCATGAACGGGACAGGATACCAGGAGGCCATTGTACACCAACTGTCCAAATATAATATCATAATCGCCAGTATCACTGAGGCCACACTCACAGGAAGTGATAATACTACCATTGATGGCAAATACCACCCTGCATTCTGGAGGTCAACATTGGGTTTGGGGGTCGCACTCATCAGGTCACCTCTCAACTAATCACTTGTATCATGAATATGCATCTCACCATAAATCTTAGTGGCTAGAATTGACATGGACATCTCTTGGTCATTATTGCATATGCACCAGCAGAACAGTCAAGCCCTGATATAAAAATACCACTTCTGTGATCAATTAAGTGCCTCGCTGCTTTTATCGTATTACATGACACGATCATGACCATTAGAGATGTGCATGCAAATAGAGGCAACTACCGCAGTGGATTCGAATCTACCATAGGGCCTTTATTGGCTCATGGGATTCGCAATGACAACTCTGCCAGACTTCTGTTGTCAGCTTATCGTATCATAGACTAAACATCCACAGACAAACTTGGATCTCAAACGATGGTCACAAAACAAAAAAATAATATTATATCCTGACCAAGGACAGAACCAAATAAAAGTCATATCGGGTTTTCCATGGAGCGGAGGAGGCACCTGCTAACACCAACCACCACCTAGGGAGACGATTCACCCTCTGCTTCCCAATACCCAGGAAATAACTCAGCCGTTAAATCGTATCATGTTTAGAGACTCAGGGACAGCCACAATACTGCTGCTAAATTATTCAGGGCAGTTGAGTCTCACTTGGCAGCCACCACAATCTCACCCGACAATGTTGATGTCGAATGTACCTTGTCCCATATACGAGACTCCATTAGACTGGCTGCTGAAGCTACGTTAGGCCTCTGAGAGCCTGTCCATAAACCATGGCTCTCTGGCTCCACCTTCAAGGTTTTAGAATAGAAGGCAGCTGCACAGCAGAAGGATAACACGAACGAACAATGCAGACTTCAGGGAATTTTCAGAGCTCGAGAAAAAGCTCAACAAGGGAAGTGTCTGATCTCCATGGCTGATGAAGTTGAGTCAGCACTGTTATTAAACTAGATGGGGACAGCTTTATGCGTCATCCAACGTCTGACAGGAGGTGGTGGACATCCCTACTTTCAGTACCGGAAAATTTTTTGGCACAATTACTTGTGGGCAGGCTGCAATCACTCCTGATAAAAACACCATCGCCTACAGCAATCGGGATTCACAGTTGGTTGAGCTACGATGGATGCTGTGCTTGCACTCTGCCTACTTGCAGAACTGCACCATGAGTTCAACCACCCATTGCATGTTGCTTACAATTATTTGAAGGCGACATTTAACTCCGTGTATCGATATGCCCTCTGGTCTGCCTTGAAAGATGTGCATGCAAGACATAAGCGCAAGGGTACGTGTTGGGTCCAGACTTACGTCACGATTTGAAACCACATTTAGAGTACGTCAAGGATACGTCTTCACACGGTGCTCTTCTTTTGCGTGATCAACTTGATCTTTGAAAACATGGCCCACGACCTTGGAGTCAAGATTTACCAGCACCACTTCACTAACCTCGACCTTGCTGATCTTGCAGCCTTGTTTGTTGAAAAGCCTGAAACATTCACAGTAGTCCTCCAATAATTCCACAACCATGCGAGAAAAATGGGATACATTTTGCATGGCAGAAAACAAAAGTCCAGAACTTGGGCTCCAGTTCTCTATAAGCACTATTCGTAATCAATGGCAACTCTGTCAAAGCAGTGGAGGCATATGTCTACCTAGAATCTACATAGACTACTGATGGATGATGTACACCTGATGTCAGGCACCGGATCGGCCTGGCCTCAAGAATAATTAATTGTCTGATCCCCATCTGGCCACCCGATTGAGATTCTACCAGTGCTGTGTTTTGTCAGTTTTGTTGTATGGTGCAGAAGCGTTGGCATTACGTCAAGCAGGTTTAGATCAGCTGCAGTCCTTCCACATGTGATGCCAAAGACGCCTTCTTGGCACCATTGCATCTATGATATTTTTATCCTAGCAACTGAGAGTTTACTGTAAGTTTGAGTGAGATGGCGGTAACTTTTTTGATAGCATCGCCCTGTCTTGGTGTGAAAACTCCAGAAAGTAGCGCAACTTGAGTTGGCAGTCGATACTCTTAGGTTCTATTCGCTAAAGTCACGTAGGTAAAAAAAATCGACAACAAATCACCGAAACGTCGTGATTTTTGTTTTATTTTATTTACCTACGTGACTTTACCGAATAGAACCAAAGAGTATGGATCCTTGCAGTCACGAAAGTTTCAAATCTAGAATTGGCAGTCGATGTTCTAAGTGGACTGTGACCATTAAAGAAATGGCGCCGCCCGCCCCCCCCCCCCCCCCCCCCCCCGTGATCCGGGAATCAAATGAATCACTCGAGACGCCGGTGTATGGCAGCGAGAACATTAACATTCTAATGCTGTCACAAGAGGTCAAACATATGGCGCCACAGTCGTTTGCTGAATATGTGTAATGAATGAATGGACTAATTCCCCAGCACGTGGAATAGAACTCTGGAGATCATGTTTAAAAACGCATGGTACAACCCATAAACGCATCAGAGAAAACAGAGATGATGTCACAATTCATGACATCAAGTGGAGGCTTGCATAAGAGTGTGTTATTATTTAGATTATTTTGCTGCTATAAATGTCAACTTGGTTGAGCTATAATTTGTGATCAGGTCGATTGTGAAAAATAAGTTATTATCTCAGTAGGCTTTATCAGGGGCGGGTTTAACGACACATTTATATATTTACGTGATCTAACCCAAGAAAACCTGTATTATGGAGCAAAAAAAACAGGTTACTTTTATTTGAATCCTTTTTCAGTGATATGTTTAACTTTCCTATAATTTGCACTGCCATCATGTTTTTGTATTGTTTGTTGTCGTGACGTTCTGACCCACCCCTACTGGAGATCTGAAAAAATAGAGCTTTATAGCTCTTCGGATTCCTACAGTATAAATACCAATTTTTTATTTAATCCTAAAAAATATAGCAATCAATTATCAATAGGGTCGATTTTCAACCAGGTTCATTTTAATGTTATCACTAGGATTTCATGATCAATAAAACATTTTATGGATAGGTCGTGTAAAAAAGAAACCCTTCTCCAACCTACGGGTATAAGAGGGTTTACGACATACCCAAAAACTATTCTGAATCAGCGTCCGTTTTGGCAACGAAACTTTATACAGTGATCTCTCGGTTTACTATGCCATTGATTAACGATATTTAAATCAACGATTCATCTCCCAAAGGGTCCCCCATTATTTCTCTTTACAATAAATGTTTTCTATTCACGACATGTTTACGATATCATGCGGCCACCAATTTCGGCCAATTGGAGTGCTCCTACGTGGAATCAGCAGACATTAGCCAATCAACGACCCGCCCCTTCTATGAGCGTTTTAAGAGCAACTGGCTGAGCTTTTCAATGATTTATGTGCGTTGCTCATGGAAACAGCTCTCTAGAATGCGTCCTGTCTTTCTTACTTAAAAGTAAAATAAGATCAATAACAATGGCCCCTAAAATGAAAGTGATGAAAAAAATAATTGAAAAAAAAAGAAAGAGGTGTAAAAACAAGTGGTCAGGTTTGTGAACTTCCGATTGTCTTGGAACAAATTAAGCCTTTAACATGTTTTTTCCCTTATTCGATTAACAATCATTTCAATTAACGGTGTTTTTCATGGAACCAATTCAAGTTGGATACTCTTTAACATAGTTATGGACTCCTGTTGCTGACGTACAAACAAAGAGATTGACAGCGCTAATGAATTTATACTTTCACACAGTCAGAAAGCATTTAAATGATAACAATGATGATGATTAAGAAGACCCTATTGCTTGCTTGCTCCCTGTTTTTTTGTCAGTCTTTCTGCAGGTTGCAGAGCTTTACGTGCAGGCTCAGCGTTCGGGCAACATGGCCTGCATCGAGGGTGCACGGAAACAAGTGGTGCTGTTTGCCAACATGCAGGCAATGGATGATGCCAAGGGGGTATATCAGCGAGAGATGGAGACGCTGCTGAACAAGCTTCCTGTGGAGTATAATGAACTGCAACGACATCAAGAGGAGTGCTCGAAGAAAGCAATGGCTCTCTTCTACCGTCGCTCTGTGCTCGACCGCAATCACGAGCATGAGAAGGAGCTCTTGGTGAGTTTGGTGAAGGTGGAATGGGTCAAGGTGCAGCTCTAAAATGTCTTGTTTAGAAACATTGCTGGTGGACAGGCCTCCGACAGAGGACACTCTCTAGAAGGTAGTTGTCACCTTCCACACCGGGCAAACATTTTGGAGAATCTGGGATTATAAACATGTCTACTCTAAGCGACCTGACCATCCGATGACTGTGGTGTGCCCATTTATACTGCTGGGTGGACAGAGGTGGGATATTTTAAGAAAATTGGGCATAATTTTAACTGCTGCTCCAGGAGATTGCATAGAATGTGGATTGCAAGTGCACGCTGTGTCTGACTATGGCAATATATAACAGGATTTTAAAGGGTTAAACTCGCACATTATTTCTTTACATTTCATATTTTCTACACAAGGTTTGGGGAACAGCAGCACAGTGGTTGGTTGTCATGCTACCATGAACCTGCCGACCTGAGTTATATTATTAGACCCAGCCAACAACATTCTGTAGTGAAAGATACCTGTGTAAATGGGTTCCTGACCATGCAAAGGGGGTGTAAGTCTTGCACTTGGACTTTCTTCCATCTTCAGCACAGCGTATCATCGTCACCATCGGCTATTCTTAGCAATCGGGGATAATTGAATTTCCACAGGAAAGCTGGATTATAATTATCTGTGAGTCCGAAGATGGCTGAAGAGACCGATCTGAGATTGACAGATTCTGAACTGGATTAGTAATTCGGGTTGCAGCATTGCTGTTTCCACCGTTCCCACTTTTCCTTTTTCTGATTTCCAGCCGTTGAGTTTCAAAATGTTTGGATGGTGATCCTGGGCAAAAGTATCCTACGAGTTGCCCCCCATTGTTTGCATCTGCTTTTTCTTCTAACTTACCGGGCTCTTTAAAATGACCACAAATTACCCAATCTGCTATGTAATGGGTTATCCACCTTGTCAGCTCGGCCCCCTTCTGTGATCGCTCAGCTTCCTCGCCAATGAAAAAGCGACGCTATATCGGGACTCGCAAGCCTTAACAGCTGGGGTGTTAAACAGAAGAACATCGATAATAATAATGACATAAAGCGCCACCTTTTTCAGACGAGTCAACAACTCAGGAGGCACGGAGGCAAGCTCAGGGCTGCTCGCAAAGCCTGACCCAGACAGAGAGGCCTTTAGATGTTTTTTGTTGTTGAAATCCATAGTGAATTTGATGTTGCGGATGTGCAAAGGGATAGAGAGTTCCACACCGAGGGGGCGACAGCAGAGAACCGACGTGAGGCTGTAACAGCTTAGTGTAGTGTATAGTAGTGTATGGTGTAGTGTCTACTATAGTGTAGAGTATAGTAGTGTATAGTGTAGTCTATATTATAGTCTATAGTAGTGTAGTGTATAGTATATAGCAGTGTATACTATAGTGCAGTGTATAGCAGTGCAGTGTATTGCGTAGTGTAGAGTAGTGTATAGTGATGTAGGCTGTAATAGTTCGAGACCTTGGTGTCCAAATCAGATTTTGAGTGACGTCGCTGTGTAGGGTTCTACAATGAGCCTTCAGTGCAAGGTGAGAGTAGTGATGCGAGGTTTGTGGGAAACTGGAGGTGAAGGCTCGATGACAAAGGCATCGCTTCTTCATGGCAGGCTTTGGGGGGAGGGGGCGCCAGATATTCAACAAACGCCGGATAATCACTAAGTCAATATTTGAAATAGCTTTTTTTTTGCATATTTGTGTGTATGACAGGATGCTTTTAGGTGTTGTGCTTGCGTATTTTTTTCGCTTTTTTTATTTACTTACTACGTGAAATTGTCAAAAATAAACATACAAAATAGACTAAATACTGAAAAAAGTTACCGTATTTACTGTATCGCACTTCCCACTTCAATCTCGAATGCTCTGCATAGGGTGATTAACCTAGTACTAGTACGCTTTTGTTTCACCAACTTGTGTTTAACGATCACCGGCCTGATGTAGCCTTTAGATCGGTGAATTACATGCACATTTCTCGCTGGATCGCACTGGATATTTTCTGTTTTTTATGACAATAGTTATTAGCTATTGAAAATTTATATAGTGCAGTATTTTCATTAAGTTGTATGTCGTGTATAATGTACTCTATATAATTTTTGACAATCAGGCATTGCTACTTTTTTTGTCATGCACTGGCTACAGCCTTTGGAGCAGATTTGTTGGTTTCTCCGGATTTGGCCCGGAACCGCTGGATAATCTTGGAAGCCGGATAATCACGTGCCAGATAATCGATGGTCAAACTATATAATTTGTTATTCTTTATTAGGGTTCACCTCTCGGAATCCATTGCACATGTACACGGTAGCCCTCCCATAGTTGAATCTAACAGGTTGCCATCGACAGATATGCAACCGTGAATAGAAAATGTTGCGTTTTCTCACAACGCCCTGCGTCCCACAGAACTTCACGATGAAGGAGTTTGAGCGGATGAAGGAAACAAACACGGAGCGATCGTACACGGTGTCCAAGCAACGGCTCCGGGTGCTGTATAAGCCGTTGAAAAATATGAACGCAGACTTTATGCAGCTCGGGGGCTACCAGAAATACGAGGTCGCAATGCAGAAGCTGGACGAAGAGTATCGTGCTACAGAGGGACTAGGAGATGAGGTGACTTACACTCTCCATGTGCATGTTCTTCCTGACGTTTCCTCCGTTCTGTAGGGTTTGTTCTTGCTGCTCCTCTTACCTTAATTCATGTCCTGGGACATCATCTCTATGTCCACTCCATGGGCTATCATATCCTGTTCTCAACCACTTCCAACCATATGTATTTCTATTTAACACGTCGTGGGCTTTCGCGACCAATATTATCCATAATAGAGGTTGTTTGGGTTAGATTGTGTACATATCTGAAAACCCAACCAGTAATGGATATCCACTGTAATTTATATGAATACATGAACTCTCCCCCCCACCTCTCTGAACTTGACACCTGATTGGCTCACAAGTGATGACATCACACTTATCTGCTCTAATTAAGACCGAGACAGGAGGAGGATTTCTCCACAATTCTGGCTGTCACCTGATGAGGCTGGTTGTAATTACCGTCGGAACATCACGGTACTGGAATTGTTAACGTTGTAGTGGGTTTACTCTCCAACACACCAGTTAGTGCTGAGCTAGTAACGAATTAGCACGTTTTGTTTACGTGACAAACCTTACTGTTTGGCTGTGTCGAGTGGTGGCAGGTTTAACGACACATTTATATTTACGCGATCTAACCCCCAAAAAAATATCTTACGGATACCTATTTCTATGCCTACTTTTCTGTCTCCGCCCCGGTGCTTGCATCTTCATCTTCTTTTTCATGTGCAAACATCAATACCAGAGAGACAGATGTGGGCAGGCTTTGTGCTGGCTACACCACCCCTATTATGTGCCGTGCGGACATCACCAGGAGCTGGCCTTGCCGCAATAACCTATTGCAACAAAAAATATTTTATTTTACCAGATGTAAGGGACCAATGAGCTATGTGGCTATTTTTCAGTTGCGACCTGGCCATCACGCATGATAGCCCAAAGAGGTAGCTTATCATTATGTTGCAATTTGTCACAGACAAATATTCTAAACACGTGATGTTGATTCTAAATGTGGAGGGGAAAAACGGAGCACCCTGGAGAAAAATCCACACGACCACGGGCAAAGAGAGACAAGCAATCTCTAAATATACAGCAGGTGCCAGAGTCGGGTTCGAACCAATGACCTCCTATACACAAGGCGAGGTACTTAACTTCTCCTAGCAACCGTGGTACACGCAGGGGCAAAAAAACATCACCGAACCTGCGGGTGTCTGCCAGCAACATTGCATTGTAAGCAATGCCATTGAGGGAAGGGCTTATGTTGGTCAGCTTATGACCTTCACGGTGCGCTCTCATCCACCATAGTGGCTAATAGGAGGGGGGGGGGGCACTAGGCAGGTTCGTCGGGGCTGCTGAGCCATGCACTTTCTGCTCATTACCAAGGGGACCAAAGAGACAATGTCAGAGCGAGCAGGTTACGGGAATACCAAAAGGACTGGTGTCCATTGACCTCACCTATCCACAACCCCATTTGATGGAGCCCGGGGGAGTAAAACCTCTCTTTCCTATTGCAGACTATAGCTGTCTGTGAAACAGAGCATCTTATTGATAGCCTTGCACTGTCAGAAGTGCCGCGAATACCAAACTTACTAAAATGATCATGAATGACCGCGAGTGTCATTCACCGCTCCCCTTATTCTCTCGTTTTTTCTCCTTGAATGTCGATGCATATGTATCCTTTTGCATGGCATATTGAGGTTTTTTTCTGTTACTGTCCTCCCAGAAAGACAAAGCCTACAAAGATTTCATGGAAAAAAATAAGGATCGTGCAAATCAAATCCGCGTCGTGGACAAGGCACTGACACAAGCTCAGCAAGAAGAAATAAGTAGGCCGTTTTTTCTTTACTTATAATTTTTCAGGCCGCGAGTTTGTCTGATGATTCTTTTTGCTTCTTGTTATTAATTACTCGGGCTGTCGTAATGGAGGCTTGTTTTGGGGAGATAAGGAGGAAACATGAAGAGAAAATATCGAATAGAATCAGGGGGGGGCAAAAATAGAACACCTTAGCAGCGGACAGCAAGGCATTAGCAATGAAGAGGATCGTGGAGCAAACAGTAGAAGCAACAATACCCTTAGTAGTAAAACTCAAGAAAATGGATAGCTGAGAAACCTTGGAATGAGCACAGGAAAAGAGGAAAATAAGGCTAAAGATCCATAATAGAGTATACTCTTTGGTTCTATTGGGTAAAGTCACGTAGGTGAAAGTAAAATAACAAAAAATCACGACGTTTCGGCCACAACACAAGCGGCCTTCATCAGGTGAAGGGACGAGACTGTCTGGAGGACAGCGCTGGAGTGGAAGAAGCCACGCTTAGATCACGACCTTTAAGCAGTCACGAAAGCTTTAAATCTAGAATCCATAATAGAGGTTTTTGGGTTTAATCGCTCATATATAAATGTGCCGGTAAACCCGCCACCCAGGGCCGGATTAAACAATGTTCTTTAGGGGCTGCAGCCCAGGGGCCTCTGTCAGCTGGAGGGCCTCCTTAAGTGAAAGGTTATTTCATTTGTGAAAGCTGAATTTTATTTGTTGTTGGCCTTGTAAAAATACATTTTATTTTTCTTTAACTTTGTTTTCTTTTTGAAAATATTACTGGGGGCACCACAGTACCTGTAGTCCAGGGGCCTACGAAATCTTAATCCGGCCCTGCCGCCACCACCACCCGACACAGGCAATTTGTGGGGTTTGTCAAGTAAACAAAACGTAGCCGATTCGTTACTAATTCAGCACTAACCTGTTGTGTGTTGGAGAGTAAACCCACTACAACATTTAGAATTCAAGTACCGTGACGTTTCACTGGTAATTACAACCTAAATTATGAGGCTATTCTAATTATTTATTTGCGCGATATAACCCAAAATACTTCTATAATGGATAATATTGGTCGGGAAAGCCTCCTCTGATGTGTTAAACTCGGATTGTCGTGATGTGGCAGTACTGTGGTGTGTGTTGTGCAATATTAGGTGCATGATTATTGTGTAATTTATTGAGGAAAATATTCTTATCGTTCTATTATTGTTTCTCATTTTACCTTATTTTGTCAGATTCTTTGGGTCTTTCGGTAAAATTACGTAGATAGAAAAAATTAATGCAATAAAATAATAAAATAATGACGATTGCTTGCATTGCGAACGAAACGTCGTAATATTTTTATTATTTTTTATTCACTTTATTTTCATTTTTATTTTTGTTATTTTATTATTTTGTGATTATTTTTTCTATCTACGTGTCTTTACCGAAAGACCCAAAGAATATGAATTCCTGTAGTCACGAAAACTTTAAGACAAGATTTATTTTGTCATGTTTAAAATCGTGATACATTGAAAGCACCAACAAAAATATAATTATATCAATTATAAATGGATAACACCCATGATATTCGTCCTTTGCGAAACGTTTTCTGAGTTATTGGCACCATTTTGGTTTTGTGACCTAAATTACCAGAGGTGGGACAAACAGCCCCTCGCCTCAGTCATTCGCAAGATGGCGACCCCGCAACACAAGGCGTTTTGCGTTGTGCTATTCAGCAAGACTGAATCCGTAATTGCGGTGCAGATGCATTTCAACGGCGTTTTGGCATTAATCCGCCAATGTCAAAAAGCATGGTGGCACAAAAAAACGTGTTTTTGTGCCACCATTAGCGGCTAAGATGGATGACCTCAAAAATAGAATCACCGCAGCGGTGACTTCAGTGGAAGAAGACACTTTGAGAGGCGTTTGAGACGAATTCAACTATCTTGTCGATGTTGTCCGTACAGCTTGTGGAGGGCCCATAGAGCATTTATAAAATGCTTAGTCAAACTTGATAACTCATTAAACCGTTCGTAACTATTTGTGAAATTGTAACATGTTGCTATCGTCAAATATACTGCTTTGAAATTGGGTCCATCCTTTTGAAACACCCTGTATAATGTATGCTATGAGATTAGGCGACTAATGGAACCTTGTAATTGCAATGGCGATTCATTACTCAAGCAATTGGATATTCCATCCCGAGTGTGTATGCATTGAGTTTGTGTTTGCAGAGAGGAGGACCTTGGAGAGGATAAATGAGCAGCAGATGGAGGCTCTGAAGATGGAAAACAAAGCCAAGGAAGCAGATATTTCACTCCTGAATAGTCAACAGCAGGTAATAGTCGACCCTTCCACATTGCAGGGGTTAGGGGCGCAGACCCCCCACGATCTGGAAAACCGCGTCATTTGTTTTGTCCCGTTGGTCCCCTTGGCGAACGAAGTGAGCACCTCTAGATACTAAACTTTTAAAGTTATCTCTACATTTCCAACCTTTGCGTGTAGTCTGCTGGTTTTGCTTTCTTGTCGCAAACTTTTAACTTTTTGCAAAATGCAACTTTAAAAAATTGCGTATATTTATGGTATTAAAAGATGAAATACATTAATATTATATAATACTGTACATACATTTTATTAATGTATGAGTTACTAAACTTTTTGCGTGTCGTCTGCGGCCTTCACAAAACTTAAAAAACTCCCCAAAAATTCCCATTTAATTTCTTATGCCTACCCTGCGATATATCGAAACTGCGATGGGGAAAGTCGCGATGCAGAAGGGTTGACTGTAATTTCACCACTCATATCATCATCATCATGTCTCTTCAGTCAACTCATTATCGACAATGGGGCCAAATTAATGTATGTGATGCTTATCTTTCCAAAGCCAATGTCGCTGCTTCATTCAATCTCAGTCCTGTGCCTTCTCGATCTTTAACCCATACATGTGTAACGAATCTATCCATCCATCTGGTTTTGATGTCGTATACCGTATCACTCGTACTTGGTTTCGTCAAGACTAAAATGGCATGTCCCTGCAATAGTTTTATCGTGGAGTTCTTTTGCAGATAACGTCTACCATGCAGGATTTGTTTAACAAGCCTTGCGCTGATGATGAGAACTATAAGATCAAAACCCGTCCAGAGTTTGTTCACTTAAACAAATGTTGATGGGATAAAATTAGTCTGGAAAGCCACAGGTTTTTACTATTTTTAAAATTTAATTTTACCAAGTAGGGCCCACTGCGCTCTATCGGTTTTTTTTTTTCAGAAGCGACCTGGCCACAAATGATAGCTCAATGAAGTGGCTTATCACGTCGAAATATATAGCAGCCATATACTCTAAACGCAACTTGCCCCAACTTTCTCTTAATGCTTTAGGACAGTGGTTCTTAACCTGGGGTCCACATAACCCCTGGGGATTCGAGATGCCATTTCTGAGAACCAAAGGGGTGCAGGCTGCAGCAAAGGTTAAGAACCACTGCTTTTGGATAATATTTGTCTTTGTGTGTACGTGAATATATACAGGTATCCCTCGATGTACGAAGGTTTGGTTTTGTTAAAGTTCGCGTTGAAGCATTTGCCAAACTGTGGGCACTTTTCAATGGATTAAATCGAATTTCTGCATTAGTTAAATTTCACTACGTCCACGTGCCATGAGATCATCATCCAACAAGAAGCACCCATGACAGGATCACGGTGTCTCTGCAGTGCAGCAGCAACACCTGCACATCACCTCTCCAGTCATTCCAACATGCAGAAGATTTTTTTTTTGTAATTTCCTTGAAAAGATGAATAATTTTAGTTTAAATTAATTATTAAGTTGTTTTCATATTGAAAACTAAATGATGGGTCGTCAACAGAATGCCTAGTGTTGTATATTTTGTGATGGAAAAAAAGAAATATGATAACATAATACATTCAATTTAGTAATATAAATTCATGTATTCTTAGCTCTTTCGGTAAAGTCACGTTGAAGGGAAACAATAAAATAATACAATATATATAAAACAATAAAAAATTCTCACGACGTTTCGACCATAACGCAAACGGTCATCATCAGGTGTGAAAAACCAACATATGAATTACTGCAGTCACGAAAGCTTAAAATCAAAATTTAAATTTACGTGATTAAGTATAATTAACTAAACATGTGCTTTAAGTGTAATTAGCACGTGTGTTAAACATTCATGATTAATGTGTGTGAGGCTTTGTGTGTGTTTTTATGTGTTGTGTCGGGGTATGAATGTGTGCCAAACAACCCCCTAACTATATATATTCTTAGTTTTTTCGGTAAAGTCACGTTGAAGAGAAACAACAAAATAACAAAATATATATAAAACAATAAAAAAATTCTCACGACGTTTCGACCATAACTCAAACGGTCATCATCAGGTGTGTCGGTTTGCATAAATTTATTTTTAAACGGCACATTTATTTATAAAAAAAAACGTTGGCGTCACGCGTTTAAAAATAAATTTATGCAAACCGACACACCTGATGATGACCGTTTGAGTTATGGTCGAAACGTCGTGAGAATTTTTTTATTGTTTTATATATATTTTGTTATTTTGTTGTTTCTCTTCAACGTGACTTTACCGAAAAAACTAAGAATATGAATTACTGCAGTCACGAAAGCTTTAAATCAAAATTTAAAACCCCCTAACTCCTCGTTGGTACCGGACAGCAACACTGTGATGAGCAGTGCCGTGGGGAGAGGGTCAATTTATATTAGCTATTCCCCTCATGGCATTTGTAGCCACCACAGCAGCCAAATGGGGTCTCTGGACGGGTGCAAGATGCTGGTATCCCCTGCACCTTCAAATAAATTATCACAATACCACGGAATAAAAATCGAATGAAGCTTGTGCCAGAGGCTCCGGGGGGACAGGTGTCCATGACATCTCCTGGCCAAACCCCATTTGTAGGTATAGCCCTGTGAGCCATGCGGCTCTTAAGTCGGGTGCAACCGCAACAAACAAAATTTGAACACAGAACATCTTAAAGCGACAACGCGTAACAGAAACATCCTGGAATAAACCAGCAAATATTCCACGCAAAAAAAAAACGTATTAAAACGTTGTGTGCAAAAATCAATGTGGTGCAAACCAACAACAACAATCATAAAACAATTTTGATTAACCATATGTTTTCGAATCACCAAAATAAAGCTATAAAAACAATGTAACAACAATAATCATAGGAACTGTGATTTTAAATTTAACAATAAACGATATACATAACACGTACGACAAAATACTCAAGGGAGGAGTTCACAGGCCTCCATTACTGCGGGTTTTTTTAGAACGAGCTAAATCCAGACATATGAGAAAAGAATGATTACATTAAAAATAGGCAGTATCACTATTAATATTTTTTTGGTAAAGCAAAATATACAACACTAGCACTGGGATGGGTAGAGCCGTATCTTCCCAGGCGAACTCAGTTCGTTAAAATCCGTGAAGTTTCTGTCCCCCAACTGTAACTATAAAACTGAAGTTCCTCAGGGCACATTGGTCACAGCCCTCTGCTGTTTTCTACATTCGTGTCACCCAATGATCGCCTCATAACAAGCCACAGAATCCAGCACCACAAAGATGCTGAAGATGCAATTGTCTACGTGAAATTAGTGCCACATAACACATCGACCTTCAATAGGTACCCGGATGCAATATGAACTTGTTTTCTTTTTCTGTAAACAAATCAGAGGTAATTTTCATTTTCGGCTCAGCTTTGCAAATCACGAGGACGAATATGCAGCCTATTTCTGTCGCTGGTGCACTGATGACTATGTCTGAGTCTGTGATGATAATTTGGATAATGTTTGACAAAAATCTTAATCTCAAATGTCATGTAAAAAAAACATCTGCCACAATTGCAACGACCACATCCGGGCACTCCGTCACGTGAGACAGTTATTGGACAAAGAGACCGCTTGGTCACTCTCTTGTAGTATGTTGACAACATTTGGAGCGGTTTTGCCGGATCAGCCCGGGGCCGTCGGATAATGTTGGAAGCCGGATAATCGATGATCAACTGTACATCAGGCACTTTGAGTTGTTGATGGATTGAAGAAAACGCCACTTACATGCACACCCTCAATCATTAATGATAACAGTGACACCTCTCGAAGACGGACTCGGGGGTAAGCCGGATATTGGGCATAAAGATAGCGAGGCTCTCTGGAATACACCACCACCATGAGGGAGTGAGTGAAGTCATCCGTTGTCTCCACGTGTGTGCGTGTGCAGTTCATCATCAGGATGTTCAACGACAATCTGATTAACATCCAGAAACACACGGATGAGAACATTAAGGAGATTCAGAAGACTCACCAGAAAGAGATGGACAGTGTGAAGAATAAATCAAAGTGCGTGATCTGTTGACACCACATATATAACAATCTGGATTATAAGACGCTCTACAAAGTAAGATGCACCCAAAAAACTTTGGCGTGTATATGTTTTTCAAATGTCATAATCTGGAGAATACAGAGAGAGCATCGTGAAACGTTTACACGGGCCAGGGCATACTTTAGTATTTAATTATAAGGCCAGCCCTGCTCATCCCACAAACCAAGAAGGAATCACCAGTAAGTTGAACACGTGGGCTTTCACGATCAATATATTATCTTTCGTCATATTAGGTTTTTGGGTCATATCACGTAATTTAAATGCGTGCCATAGACCTTCCATCACAACGACACGGCCAACTGAACAAACGTGCCAACAATGAACGCTGCTTCAGCAACAGCAGCACCACCACCACGAGGGATTGTTGGACGTCTATCTGATTGATACAAACATCATCAAACAGATCTAACCCTAAAACCTCTATTATGGATCAATTGGCCACAATTGTGAAGATGTTCTCCAGTCTCGGGGACTCAATTAGGGATGGTGGTGTGATGTCAAATTTGTGCCCGCCTACGATCGGGCAGGACATTCAATTGATGTTGGTGACGTCGACGTTCTCTGCAAAAACTCTGCTAAGACGAAAACTAGAAAACGGAAACAAATTTTATGTGACTCGCACATGCGTATTGTGCATGCACATTATGTATGTTGATTAGCCTATGAATAACCCAACCGGGTAAAAGGTATCCAGTGCATTTTATGTGAATACATTCCCCTCCCCCCTCTGGTCTTTGCACCTGTTGGCTGACAATTGACGATATCAGATTTATCCCCTCCTGTCTATTTAAGACCGAAACAGGAGGAGGGATTTCTCCACAACTCTGGCTGCCACCTGATGAGGCTGTTCATGTTGTGGATACTCGATTTGTCCTGAACTAATAACGAATTGGCATGTTTTGTTTACGTGACAACCCTAACTAACTGGCTGTGTCGGGTGGTGGTGGGTGTACTGACGCATTTATATTCGCGCGATGTGACCAAAAAAAACCCTTTATTATGGATAATTGCTATTCGTCAAGACTAATTAGAGAATTAATTGAAACTGAGAGATATAAACTTAAAATGCAATTGAGCAGACAGCTATAAGCTGATCACGACTTTGGAAATGCATAGTTAAATGATTACGTGACAATCTTCATCAAAATGTGTATTTACAATTTTTAAAACGAGCACATCATGATTAAAACATTAGCAGTTAGTATAAATAAGTAACTTTGATCAAGGACAATCACCATTGAAATAAAATGTACAGTGTATTCACATATCTCACATGTATTATAATTTATAATACCATCTAATAATTATGACCAACTCGTTTCACCACGGAAGTATATACAGGGTGCTTCCAAAAATTGTTAACACTTCTAATAATTTGCAACAATACTGCAAGAAATGTGCCTCTGGGCACTGGAGACCGACTGGAGAAGATGTATATACGTATTTACCTTCATAATACCATATCAAACGTAATAATACTTTACAAGTTAATATAGATTTGAAGCTTTCATGAATGCAAGAATCCATACTCTTTGGTTCTTTCGATAACGTCACGTAGATAGAAAATTTAAAGATACAACCTCTTGTTGCAGCAGCTCTGTCTCTTTCGTCAGCAGTTCTGCTGTGTTGGTCTCACCTGATAACGGTTGCTTGTGTTGCGATAGAAACGTCGTGATTCATACATTTTATATCTACGTGACTTTACCGAAAGAACCAAGGAGTAATTTAATATAGCAAAATACAAACAATTACATTAACATCTAAATATCACTCCCTCGTTCCTCTTGGCGCAAATTAATGACAGTGGCGGGAGGACATTTTTGCAAATCTGACAACTGCTGAGAACGATTGTTCAAGGGCACTTCATAAATTAGTATTTTATTGATGATGATGATTGTAACTATCAAGGAAAACATCTGCACCCCATTGTTAAATGTCATGAGATTACTCTCCGACAACATCTCCAAATGTTGTGCTCAAGGGGTTATGCATAAATTGGCCACGTTTTTCACTTGACAACATTATGAATTAGCCGTGTTAGTTGGATGAGGGTCAACTCATGCAATCTGACGCCAAATCATTTTAAAATTGTGAATGAGGGATACAAGTGTGTTTCCATTTAACCACAATATGGTTATCACATTTCTTTTCCGGTAAGTCCTGATTTCTATTGGTATTTAAGAAGACGAAGGAAAAAAACAATTACTCTTTGGTTCTTTCGGTAAAGTCACGTAGGTATAAAATAAAATAAATCACGACGTTTCGGGCGCAACACAAGCATCCATCATCCCACCTGATGACTTTACCGAAAGAACCAAAGATTATGGATTCCTGCAGTCACGAAAGCTTCATATCTAGATTTAAAAAAATAATTGTTTAAAAAATGCATTGCATAAAAAATATATATACCCGTATTGATTTTAAGATTGTGTTGCTGGTATTCAAGACCTTAAATGGACTTTCTCCTACCTATATCCATAACCTGCTTCAGCCATTATATATTCCATCAAGATCATTAAGTTCCTCACATTGTACATTGCTCACTGGCATCACGGCCTCCAGGCTTCACACGTGGGGGGTGATGACGGGGCCTTTGCAATTGCGTCGCCTAAACTTTGGAACTCCTTGCCCCTTCGAGGTCAGGGGACTTCTGGGACACTTGCAGATCTTCACATCTCGACTTAAAACAATGGCTTTCTTTGTTTAGTTATTCTCAAACGTATTTCTGACTTCTTCTTTCATTGTGTGATCTTAAACGATTTCCACCTTCCCATGCATAGTGCCCCTCAGAACGATTTTTTTAAGGTTGCTTTATACATTGTAATTATTGTCGATTGTTCCGAGTCTCTTGGCTTGTGGATTTTTAAGTTTTGTTACGCTCTGGAAAAGGGACTTATGGAGAGGCGACTTCCAAAAATATGATTATGAGCGTGCTGCTTTAACAATTGAGACTTCTGCAAGATGTATTATGAACAACCGGTGGTGGTCTTCTGCCCTCCACGTGGTTAATATATAGTTACAGAGAGCCCTCATTCTGAAATATGATCTAGAATGCACAGCTGTAAGATGGGGAGAAATGTCTTGTGGAAGACTACGGTGAATAGCTGATGTTGGGAGGTTCGCCATTCTTAGGATGGTTGTCACGTGGTGGAGCAGGTCACAGCGTGTGTGGGCATATATATGTTTGTATGTTGTGCTTCTTTCGCACCATACGTAGAAAACCATTCTAATTGGAGGTAGTGTTAGGTGTAGTGTAAAATAGTGTAGTTTATAGTCGTTTGTGTATTTTGAACTTCTTTCACACCGTACGTAGCCAGCAATCAAAACTAGCCAGTCTAACTCCTTTTCTGCTCATGAAGCAACAGACAATTTAACACCAACACACACAGACAGATCCCCCGTACAGACTCAAAGACTGTTGGGGCAAATGCTATTAGCGAGCACCTATGAAGGCTGGCACGACACATGAGGGGGTGGGTGGCTAGCAGCACGCCCGGCCGCTTTTGTCTCCCCAGTGACGATGTTTACACACCGCACCAGGTCCTCATATGAAGCTGAGTTGACCTATGGGGAGGCCCAGAACAAGTTCAGATAATGTTCACTGGTGTTGGCCGTGAGTGGGAATCGAACTCGGGTAAACAGATTTGTGGTGCGGCGCGTTAATTGCTATACTACCATTCCCCACTCACCAACACACACACACAACCACACGTACACCAAACATAACACAGCACAACTTTGACACAGGTTACTTTCTCAACCCAAACTCCCGTTAATGCCTCCCTCTTCGCGTGTAAGCAGAACGTCGTGTTCGCTGGATGAGTATGTGCGACCACTTTCCTGTAAATCAATCAATCTAAAATCGAGCCATTGACGGTGATGGCTGTCTGCCTGATGAGTTACCCACAGTCCACTCAGTCCACCTTAGAGTCGACTCAAACGGCTTTCTCCGCAACTCAGCCTCACGACTCTGTTTAGTCCGTAAAGTACCTGGCACGACTTTTCACGATACGTGTACAATATACTTATACGCATCCATTACTGCTCACATAATATGGTTTTACTCACGAGCAGAGATCCTTTCATATTACCTTCTTTGATTCGTCCAATTTCTACTAAAATGCATTATTTACAGGAATGTATGTACTAAAATAACCATATATGTACAGTGGCAATTTAGCTTATGCTATGGTAAAAACTAATACTGCCTAAAGTCACTTAATTACATGTACTGCAATGTTATTATTTTTAATTAATTCCAAATTAACGGCGAAATGTCGTACTCGAATTGTAAATGCTGTGGGTTTTTGCTCCAAACACACTGGTTAGTGCTGAACTAGTAAGGAATTGGCATGTTTTGTTTACGTGACAAACCTTACTGATTGGCTGCGTCTGGTGGTGGCGGGTTTAACGACGCATTTATATTTACGTGATCGAATCCAAAAACCTCGATTATAGATCATTCCTTTACGACAATCAATGTTGTGCAATTACGTGGTTGTCTGAGTATTATTAGCCCGATTATGCTCCGTGCAGCAATGTATATACTTGTGCCATCTCCTTAGGCTAATATATATGAGTTCCATGAGGACTAATAATAAATAATAATAATTACATTCATATAGCGCTTTTTGTAAAGGATCTCAAAGTGCTGCACAGGACACAGCGGCGGCAGCAGACACTCAGACGCATAGCAAATATATTATAGATACTTTTTAAGAAACCATTTACGAAATGAACTAAAGGTTAAATAAGCAGAAGCGTATACGTTGGTTTTAGGATGTATTTTAACGAATGTCCACAGACTCAGAGACTCTGATATCTCGTGGAAGAGCGTTCCATAGCCAGGGGCTACACAGGGACTGGCTGCAGACGTTCTCACGTGCTGATTTGAAAAAGGCTCCCCTAGTTGCTTTGACGCCTCGCCAGTGATATAGGATTAGAGGCCACTGCAAAATTAACCTCAAACAATTATAATCCATGCCTGTTGCTTTGGACTGCACGTGTAGTTTTTATAACAGTAAGAGATGAAAGAGAATCTACAATCTTGCTTCAAAACCATTCCAATCGTAATAAAATGTTAAATTCAGCGCTAAGACAGCCCCAACTTTATATAAATAAAGAGGTGCTAGGTCCATATAAATTGTAACCCTTTCAATCTGCAAAAAATGTTTATTCACCTGAATTGCCCCTATGATAAATTTAATGTAAAAAATGTTGTACTTTGGCAATGCATTGCTGTGGATACCTATATTCTAGAAGATGAATGCGGATGTCATTGATTATAATGGAATTCTATGATCCCCCAAAAAATTGCTTTGAAATAAAGTGCGTCTTATTATACCATAGCATATAGTGGTAGGGTTCCGTTACCAATGTTTTATGATACAATCGCAATTCGGATGATATGAAGAGTTTGACGATATCACTTTCCCACATCTTTGTGATTGAGTATTCACAAATTTGTCCAATCAGTTGTGTATTTTGCTCTGCTTCCAGCACGAATAAAGATTGTTTAAAAATGTTTTTAAATGCAATGCACTTTACGTAAGTTTTCTGTGATGCCCACGTTATGCGGGTGCCGGAAGGCTACGCATTCCTCACACTAAACACACGCACACATAGCACGTGGCAAACACCTGGAAACCCAGAGCATCAGCCACCGGCATCAGATTGGTCAAGGCTCCGTTTCTGGGGTGATCGGGCTTTTGCCAGTGCAGCTCCAAGATTATGGAATGCATTGCCTCTGACAATAAAGCAATCATAATCTTTAGAGCTATTAAAATCTTGCCCTGAAAACTCACCTCTTTAAAATGGCATTTTCACCATAGTTTTGGTCATCAACGCTGGCTCTGTATTATTTACCTTGCTTTCCATACACGGCACATCGGGATCCATAGATTTAGTTCTGCTGAAAATGTGTAGCGGGATGGTGTTCCAGATGGCAGGGGACTGTGACCCCGAATTAAGATAAAAACACCTGGCAGTGATGGTCCTTGTTATTGGTATAGCAATTGGTGGTTGGGAGTAAATATGCTGAGAGCTAAATTTCGATTTAAAGCTTTCGTGACTGCAATGATTCATCTTCTTTGGTTCTTTCGGTAAAGTCACGTAGAATGAGAATAAAATAATAAATTGATAAAATAAAATAACACAATAATATTCTCACGACGTTTCGGCCACAACACAAGCGGCCTTCATCAGGTGAAGGGACGAGACTGTCTGGTAGGACAGCGCTGGAGTGAAAAAGCCACGTTCAGATCACGACCTTTAGGCTGTGTGAGAGGAAACAAAGCGCCTTGACAAAGGAATTAGCATATAATTTAGCATTGAAATGGCTGAGTGATTAGCTTGTGACTGGTCACAGAAATGGCTATGTTAAAAGTTAAAACATACACATCCGCAGAGGCACCCCTTGACAAAGGAATTAGCATAGAATTTAGCATTGAAATAGCTAAGTTAAAGCATACACATCCGCAGAGGCACCCCTTGACAAAGGAATTAGCATAGAATTTAGCATTGAAATAGCTGAGTGATTAGCTTGTAACTGGTCACAGAAATAGCTATGTTAAAGTCAGAGCATACACATTCACCGAGGCACTTAGTACAAATCAAACAGGATAATTTAGCATTGAAATAACTAGGAGAATTTAGCATTGAAATAACTGAGTGATTAGCTAGTGACTGGTCACAGAAATGGCTATGTTGAAGTCAAGGCCTACACATCTGAGCTATTCACAGTACTATATAGTGAACCAATAAAAAAACTAAAATATAAATTACCTTAATGTTATCAATAAACTCTATATTCTCCAATCAGCTAAGCTACCAACAATAAGTCGTTATATATCACAATGCTATATGGCGAAAAAATGGGTGGATTTTTACCCTCAACTTTAGCAACACGGATAGCTACGGGCCCCGTTCAGATGGACGAGTTCATCCATGGTCGGAACAGAGGAGGGGGAGAGAGACAGCTGCGAGGCGCTATTATACTCCATGTTGTAAACCATACCATTAACCGTGGTGTGAGGTATTAAGAGTCAATGCTGGCGAAAGAGCTGCGGTCTGAAGGTCATCGTAAAATACAATTAATTAAGAACAGAAATGGTTTAAAACATCTTTCCAATGGTTACTAAGCTAGAATGCATCTTCTCGGTTGAAATTGTCTCTGTGCCTGTATATGTGAATGGCCTCATGAACGAATCTCTCATGGTAGCCGGTTGGTTTGCAAAGAACCTCCGTCTTGGAGAAGTCAATGTCATGTGAGCCTACTGAATTATAACAGTGATCTGCCATGGCAGAGGAGTTCGTTCTACCGTGTTTCAAGTCTGCTTTATGTTTTAAACCATTTCTGTTCTTAATGACCTTCAGACCGCAGCTCTTTCGCCAGCATTGACTCTTAATACCTCTCACACCACGGTTAATGGTATGGTTTACAACATGGAGTATAATAGCGCCTCGCAGCTGTCTCTCTCCCCCTCCTCTGTTCCGACCATGGATGAACTCGTCCGTCTGAACAGGGCCCGTAGCTATCCGTGTTGCTAAAGTTGAGGGTAAAAATCCACCCATTTTTTCGCCATATAGCATTGTGATATATAACTATTTATTGTTGGTAGCTTAGCTGATTGGAGAATATAGAGTTTATTGATAACATTAAGGTAATTTATATTTTAGTTTTTTTATTGGTTCACTATATAGTACTGTGAATAGCTCAGATGTGTAGGCCTTGACTTCAACATAGCCATTTCTGTGACCAGTCACTAGCTAATCACTCAGTTATTTCAATGCTAAATTCGCCTAGTTATTTCAATGCTAAATTCTCCTGTTTGATTTGTACTAAGTGCCTCGGTGAATGTGTATGCTCTGACTTTAACATAGCTATTTCTGTGACCAGTTACAAGCTAATCACTCAGCTATTTCAATGCTAAATTATATGCTAATTCCTTTGTCAAGGGGAGCCTCTGCGGATGTGTATGCTTTAACTTAGCTATTTCAATGCTAAATTCTATGCTAATTCCTTTGTCAATGGGTGCCTCTGCGGATGTGTATGCTTTAACTTTTAACATAGCCATTTCTGTGACCAGTCACAAGCTAATCACTCAGACATTTCAATGCTAAATTATATGCTAATTCCTTTGTCAAGGCGCTTTGTTTCCTCTCACACAGCCTAAAGGTCGTGATCTGAACGTGGCTTTTTCACTCCAGCGCTGTCCTACCAGACAGTCTCGTCCCTTCACCTGATGAAGGCTGCTTGTGTTGTGGCCGAAACGTCGTGAGAATATTATTGTGTTATTTTATTTTATCAATTTATTATTTTATTCTCATTCTACGTGACTTTACCGAAAGAACCAAAGAAGATGCTGAGAGCTCTACAGTGAGCTGTAGTGGAGGGCGACAGTAGAGGGGTGGGGGGGGACGACGACACAGGA